TGTCACCACTGATGCCAATGCAAGGCTGGTACCTGCCTGGCAGGGAGGTGGTGGCAGGGCAAGGCGAACCCAGGTGGCTTCTGGGATGGGGGGAGCTGGGAATGGAGAGAGAAGCAGCATGCTGTTGAAGCTTTGAAACTTCAGGTAGCTGTGAGCACATGACAGGATGGTTAAGGCCTGCCCACAGCTTACAGAACCCACAGATGAGCTGTGGTCCTTCACTGTGATTCCTTTGAGCGTGCGTATCACCACTTTCCCCATCTACAGCTGCTGTGTAACAGGGCTTACCTAACGTTGTCACCAGAGAGTAGCAGAGATGGGTTGGGGCTTGAGTTCCCTGACTGTTACAGCCCCAGGACTTGATCTGCCCATCCTTACCCTGAGTGGGTTCCTGGCCCCCAGGGTTCCAAACCTGCATCCTGTGGTTCTGAGGACACGCACTGGAGGAGCTGTGAGGAACAGTGAGGCTGTCGCTAGCCTGCTGCACAGTGGGCATGCCTCTCACAGCTGGTTCAGAAACTCCTAGAATGCAGGAAGGCAGCATCCGCAACAGCGGGGTATCTGTCCTGTGAGGCAGGGGAAGAGTTGGGAAGCTAGTTCTGAGCCTCCCATATGTCCTTACACAATGACACTGGTCTGTTCCAGAAAAGCACTTACAGGGAGTGGTCAGCTGGGAATTCCTAGCAGCCCTGAAGTCAGGAACACTTCTGTGTGCTCCTCCGGAGACCCTGCCGTCTCCAGGGCACGTGGTTCTCATGCACACAGCATCACGTCTAGAATGCCCACAGGCAGATTTTGAGTACATGTTTACCTGTATGCTTTCTTACTCTCGTTGCATTTCCAACTTTACTCTGAAATCTTTGGTGTGAGGTAAGGATCTAACTACTCTTTTCTTTCCAGGGTGTCAGCTCTTGCCTCACTCCACTTCTGTATCCAGTGAGTCAGTGTTTCCCCCACTTTGACATCCAACTCTAAAACTTTGCCACCTGGCCAACTCAGACCTGGATTTGGGCTCTCCAGATCCTTGGTAGGTCTGGCCTTTGTGTGGGTCCCCCAGCCTGCCACTGACTCCATTGTATGTAGGGGATCTTATAGTCATGTAAGAACTTGGTCATATTTTGTTATGACCTCTAAAACTTGATGCCAAGGGGAGGCAAGCAAAGTATTCAAGCTTGCAGCAAAATAATGGGCCTCGGTGACCTGGGACATAGAAACCATTCTGATCTTCTGTTGGGCTTTGGCAGGCTGGTCAGGCTGTGACCACAGGAGAGAAACCCACAACTGTGCAGGTAACTGACCAACCTTACCTGTGTAGGGATCTCCTGCCAACGGCAACACGGGGTAATTCATCCCCATCCCCACCAGCTGCGGCTCTGGGCTGCCCCAGCCTCCCCTGTCGGCCTGTGTGCCTACAGTCTGTCCCCAGGTGCAGTGTGTCCAAGGGAGCTGTGCTCAAACCCCATCCTGCCACCAGAAAGCAGAACTAAAGAGAGAGAAGCACAGCCTAGGTCTGTCAGTAGCTTTCTATCATATATCAACCCTACCCACAAGCCATTGCCACTTCCCATCGAGTTTCACCACTGAAAGGCCTCTGTCATTTTCTCTCCCTTTACCATCCCTCTCTACCCCCACCCCCATCCCGTTGCCTGGCCCACAGCTCCCAGGCACTCCTGCTGGTCTGCCCCTCCCAAGGCCTCCTGTTGATCTCTGTGCCTTTGTTCTTGTCTTCCATCCAGTCTCTTCCCCATGCTATGGCCCAAGTCTGGAAGTCAGCACCATGGCATAACAGCTTAAGCCTCTGCCTTCAATGCCAGCATCCCAAATGGGTGACAGTTTGAGGCCCAGCTGCTCCACTTCCTCTCCAGGCTCCCAGCAAAGCAGCAGAGGATAAACCAAGTGCTTGGAGCCCTGCATCCACATGGGAGACACAGAAAAAGCTCCAGGTTCCTGGCTTTGAATTGGCTCATCCCGGGGTTTTGCAAACATTTGGGGAGTGAAGCAGTAGATGGAAGATCTCTTTTGCTCTCTGTCTCTCCTCCATAATCTGTTACTCTGCCTTTCAAATAAAGAATTTATTTTCCTGGAAGGAAGGAAGGAAGGAAGGCCATGTCTGATCTAGGCTCATCAGGAGCATCCCAGGGTTTGAATATTGGCAAAAGGTCCCTCACGGCTCCACCCTTCCCCCATGCACTGAGGAGCGCTGGGAAGCAGTGCTTCAGCCAACCCCAGAGTGAATTCTCCTGCCCATCCCCAGGCTCAGGTCTGTTCCTGCAGCTGCCTGCTGGGACAGGTCATACCTCGTCCATGCTGCCATGGTGCCATGTCTCGCCACAGCCCACGGGCACACATCTGTAGACCTTAATGCCTGCCCTAGGCTCTGAGATCCTCATATGGCAGGGCCACACCCCTTGGTCAGCCCTGAGGATGGACATAGAGGAGGCTCTCAGAAAACAGCAGCCCCAGATCCATCAGATGAGCTGCAAGAAGCTGTCAATGCGAGGGCACGGTACAGCAGACAGTTGTGGACTGCTCGCCTGGGTCTCTGGGACATGAGCTGCATGGGTGCTGTGGAGGGCCCCTTTTCAGCATCCTGGTTTGCCTACCCCCCACCCCTGTCTTGGCTCCCTCTTCCCTGCAGGACTGTTGGTTTTGTTTCCTGGAGCTTGGTAGCCTGGCTCACTAGCGTCACCCAAGGAAAGTTGTGTGTATGTGTGTGTGTGTGCACGCACACATGCACCACACTGGGCTACCCTGGGCTCACAGGCAGATTAATGATAACCTTTCACAAGGCAGTACGGGTCTTTTGTAGTTGGGGGCCCTGTGTTCCTGTCTCCTGGTTGGTTTGGAACTGTAACAAGGTGCATATCAGGGTGGGAGAGCTTTGGCTACATGAGTCTAGTCCTGTGTCTGCCCTGGCTCAGATCTAGCCATGCACGTTTTGTGTCAGTGCATATACAGGAGGTGGTATGTGTTGATTTGTTTGTTGTATGTTATTTTTACTTGAAAAACATGTAATCACGCTATCAGAGGATGCTTCAGCAAGTTTATGGAGAAATAAAATTAAAGTTAGGCACTGATATTGAGTGCAGCACATTAAATCACTGCCTGTGATGCCAGCATATCATATCAGGTGCTGGTTCAAGTCCCTGCTGCTCTGCTTCCAATCCAGCTCCCTGCTGATGTGCCTGGGAAAGTACCACACAATGGCCCCAGATACTTGGGCTCCTGTTACCCAGGTAGGAGACCCAGATGAAGCTCCAGGCTCCTGGCTTTGGCCTGGCCCAGCCCTGGCAGTTGAAACCACTTGGGACAGTGAACCAGCAAGTGAAGGATTCCTTCCCACCTTTCTCCATTTCTCTCTTTTACTCCATGTTTTGAATTAATGAATGAATCAAATCTTTTTTTAAAAGATTCATTTGGTGCAAAAAAAATACTTGAAATCTGTAAATAGGGTTTTTTTCATAATATACATTTTACACTCACTTTTTTAGGGCAAGGCTCCTCCTTGCATGGGTTTCAGAAACTTTTGCACCAAAAGACACTTTGAATTTCAGCTGCCATGGACTTGTGGGCGCACCCTCCCCCAGTCTGGAAAGAAAACAGAATGCCACGTACAGCACAGCAGTTCCCACTCTGCTGCTCTTGTAATTTCAGCACGTTATAACTTGATCTTTGTCCATGCCCGTCTCACACCCCATAATCACAACACACGTGTGCTTTAGTGTCCCGCATCCCCTACCCCACCCCAAATAATGTTGCTGCCAACAGAGTGAGTCTGCTGCGTTCAGGTCAACCCTAGAGCAGGTACGAGGAAACCACGGGGCTCTTGAGCATCCTGTGTGTGTTACTGACGCCATGCCGGGAACAGGCGGCTGCAGCTGAGAGGGCATTGGTGGAATCTGTGGCATTCCCTCCCCATTGCAGCATGAGGGACCTGTGCAGTCACTAAGTAGTGTGCCCCCTTGGTTCACTCAGCAGGCGAGCAAGGGTTCCTGCATGCCAGGCACTGCTGTGGGCACGGCGGATACAGCACTGGCAGAAGTCCCTGTGTTCCGGCCCAAGAGGGATGAATGAGTACATGCAGGAGTGAGTCCGGTGACGGGCGAGGGGAGGGGAAGCTGGCTTGGGCAGTGACATGTGAGCAGAGCCCTACATGGAGCGAGGCGTGAGCCATGCAGCTGTCAGGGACAGTTTTATCCTGGCACAAGGAACCCAAGGGCCCGGAAGCCCCAAGGCTTGTGCAGAGGCACCCCTGCCATGGACAGGGGCTGAGGTCTGGGGTCAGGTGAGAGGGCCAGAGAGGAGGAGGAGGAGGAGGAGGAGGGCATGGAGCCTCCACCCCCAACCTTCACCCCCTGCCGCTCAGCTCTTCTGGAGCAAGTTAGGCAGCAAACAGCAACACCACAGTCTGCTCCATCCCCTCCCTCATCCTGCCTCGAGGCCTTCGCACTCCCACCTTTGCTGCCCTCTGTGAGTGACAGAGAAGTTTCCCAGAGCCTGGGAACCTCCCCTTCCTTACCCCACGTGGGATATGCTGCTCACAGCCTGCAGGATCGGCAGCAGGACAGCTGAGAAAGGAGACACCCCGAACCTCTCTCTCCCCCTGGACTCCCTTGAGACAATTGCTCCTCTCTGAGAAACAATGCATTTAAAAAAAAATTAACCTAGCTTGACTTACTATCAGTGGATAAGTGTTGTATTAACCTAGTTAAGCTGGTTGTGGGTCTCCAGTTAAAACTGCTTCAACCTCTAACAAACAATGCAGAAACCAGATCTTGGGGGCCGGGGAGCTGTGTGGTGGTACTGGTGTGGTGGGCGGCAGGAGGTTGGAGGGAGGTGAGTAACCTAATTATAATCTTCCTTGAATCGCTTTGGGGTGAGATGTGTCACATGCCGAAATCAGATCCCAACAGCGGGCTTAAAAACGTTCACTTCTGAAAGAACAAACTGTTACAGGTTGCTTGGGGTCATTGATGGCTTTTGTTTTCTCTCTGTTGCAGAAGGAGACATCACAGCTTTCTCGGATCGCGAGGAAAAATATGGAATGCGTTCTCCCGCTGACTGAACCCAGCCCAATGAACTGTACTGACAGTGGCTCGAAAGCCAGCAGTTAGCAGTTTGTTCAGGCCCTGCTGCCGTCCAGCACTTTCCTGAGCACGCCCGCTCAGTGTTTACGAGAACTTTCGGCCTTAGGGAGCTCCTGACCTCACACGTTGTTCATTTAAAACACTTGCTGCCACAGACACAGTGCCCCACCCATCAAGATGGCTGCGGAGGGGTATCTGTGGATGGTCATTTTGGGCTTCATCATAGCCTTCATCTTGGCCTTCTCTGTCGGCGCCAACGACGTGGCCAACTCGTTCGGCACGGCCGTGGGGTCTGGCGTGGTGACCTTGAGACAGGCCTGCATCTTGGCTTCAATATTTGAAACCACCGGCTCCGTGCTGCTGGGCGCCAAGGTAGGAGAGACCATCCGCAAAGGTATCATCGATGTGAACCTGTACAACGACACGGTGGAGACGCTGATGGCGGGCGAGGTCAGCGCCATGGTCGGTGAGTAGCCAGCCAGCCTCCTTCCTTCCTTCCTGTGGGAGGTGGGGCCACCACCTGTTTCTCCTGCCTCCTCCCCGCCTGTGTGGTTTGCCCTTCACTTTCCTTCCAGGATGAGCTCAATGTTTCAAACTTGCTTCTCCATGTGTTTGCATGCTGAACTTTTGATTTTTTCAAAGATTTATTTATTTTTATTGGAAAGTCAGATTTACAGAGTTTAAGAGAGACAGGAAGATCTTCGGTCAGCTGGTTCACTCCCCAAGTGGCCACAACAGCTAGAGCTGAGCCGTTCTGAAGCCAGGAGCTTCCTCCGCATCTCCAATGTGGGTGCAGGGTCCCAAGGCTTTGGGCCATCCTCGACTGCTTTCCCAGGCCACAAGCAGGGAGCAGGGTGGGAAGCGGGGCTGCCGGGATAAGAATCGGTGCCCATATGGGATCCCAGTGCATGCAAGGCGAGGACTTTAGCCACTAGGCCCGAGCACCAGGCCTTCCATTTGATTTTTTAAAGTGTTTTAATATCAGACATTTTTGTTTTCTCAATTTTTTTTTCACAGGTTTGCTTATTAAGCCAGATTTTGGCTAAGTGAACCCTTTCCATAAAGTACCCCAAAAAAGATGTTTGTTGTGTACTACTCATTACTGCTTTGGCGTCCTTTAAAAGTTACTGAAGAAATAACAAGTCCAGGGGAATACATGCTAAAGATTGACACATGCGTTGCCTTGAAGGTTGTTTGTATACTTTTTTTCTCTAAAATAGGATGCAATGGTTTTAAAGCTTGAGGTCAGAAAACAACATTTATTAATGGAGTTTGTGCTGTCAGTTTGAGTTGTATAGCAGTTCCTGAAAGAGCCTTAATCCAGTGCTACTGTTTTAACAAACCCTGGTGTTCTGCATTTTGCATTTGTAATAATCCTTTGATCCTTTGTTGGTTTTTGCTTTTTTTTTTTTTTTTTTTTTAATCATCTTCTGGGAGCTGCATTACCAGCCCAGTGGTCATTTGTGTCATGTGTGTGTCTCTGTGTGTGTGTGTGTGTCTCTGTGTGTGTGTGTGTGTGTATGGCCTGTTATTGGCACATGTCAGTTGTCTAAGTCTTAGAGGTGAGTGAACTGGGCTCAGAAGTGGATGGATTGGCCAGGCAGGGTGATGTCTTTATTTCCATGGCTACCAAGGTGACCACACCCTTGCAGCTTGGTGTGGGCGCTTTTCCTCCGGCCTCGCCAGGCAGGAAGGCGCCAGGGCAGAACTGACAGGGCCCTCTCTGCTCACCTCCAGGCAGACAGCCATACATCCAGGTTGGGGGAGCTTTCATCACTGTCAGCCCTGTACTGTCATAAGATGCCATGTCCAGGGTCACAGCTGTGTGCCGCCCATCCCTGTACCTTAACACCACCCAGGCCTTAGGCACAGAGGAAGTGGGGATCACATGCCTGATTTGGCTGCTGGCCCCTGTTGCTCTGTGGCTGTGTGAAGTGGCTGAGGTGGAAATCAGGCCAGTACCCCAAGGACCTGCAAGCTGCTGCCCACACGGTAGGCTGGCTACATGCTCTTGGAGCCCTATTCCCAGGGCACTGTGAGGATGGCAGGTTCAAAGGCTTTTACTCTATCCCAATAGCTTTTGTTGCTGTTGGATGTTCACCGAACTGTACTTACTATCCATTCCTCAGCATGGTTGGGTATGACTGAAACCACCCTGGGGAAAGTTCACCAACACTGACATGTGTGTCACACAACTCCAACTTGACCTCAAAGGCAGTAGCCTGGTCAAAGTGTGTGGAAAGTATGGGGGCAAAATAAGGACAAGACAGAAGTTCTCCCTGCCATGGAGTCAAGAGGAGCAATTGGCCAGAGAGCCTGGCCAACAGAACGCCCGTAAGGCAGAGTCCCACGTTACCGTGGAGGGACCTTCGGTCGGCTGCCCGCCCAGCTTCCCACTTTCCCAGCCCACATGCCCTGGCTCTCCACCAAAAGTCTGAAGGACACTCAATGCCAGCCGGAGTTGGGGTTTACCAAAGCAATTTGGGGTTTTGCTTGAATAACACGGTGTCATTTGCTTTGGTTTCTTTTTGAATTTTCAGTGTGTGGTCAGCTGATTGGGCTGTTGAGAGCTACCAAGTCGTGTAGTTGGTCCCTCGCGAAGGGGCATTGTGCTGACGGAAGGAAGGTGGCGTCCTAGTGTTCGACGCACCCACCAGCACGGTCTGTGCGCACATGCCTGGGTTCTTCCGGTTGTCCTCTCAGAATTCCTCCTCCATCATTTCCCCCTTTCTCTTTCCCTGCCCATTTATCCTGCCCTGATATCTTGTCCTTTAGAAGCTCCAGCCCCAGGTCCAGGACTGGTGTCCCAACACTCGTGTCACACTACAGTGGGCTGGGTGGGCAGCCGAGGGCGGGGCACCACAGCTGCCACCTGCCCTGCCACAGCAGCTTTTCCGGCCCGAAGCCGGCTGCTTCTCTCCTCTGCCCGTACTCTCATCCCACCCTCTGTTCCTCTCCTCTGTGGGGTGCCGGGAGCTCCCTTCCCCCACTGTCCTTCCTTTCATCCAGGCACAGTCAGGAACGCACCTCCGTCTGCCCTCACCAGCTCTCTGCTCCAGGGTGCATCCTGTTGGGTCAGTTAGGGGGAATGTGGCAGCTCTGGGGAAGGAGACTGCTGGTATTAAGTCAGGCGAGTTTATCCCGCTGTGTCTCATCGTTAGACTAGTCTAATGCTTGTAAGAACATAAATCAGAAAGTGGCTGTTCAGGCCACAGGCTCTGGGCTCCTCAACATTCCTCAGGCTCCAGCTCTATTTTTAAAACAGCAGGTTCTCCCCCCCCGCCCCCCGCAACCGGGGGAGTCGGGGTGGTGGAGCAACCAAGGCCCCGAGGTGGATGCCTCATTGCTGCCACAGAATTCATCCCGGCTGATAGCCCAGGCCTGGTCCCTGTGCTTGCGCTGCAGGCTCTGTGGCTAGCTCAGAGGTCGGCATGCCCTGCCCTGCTCGGAGCAGCTGTCCCTGCTGTTTCACACACTGGGGCCCCTGGCGCCACCTCCAAGCTTCTGTAACTCAGAATCCCCCTGAAGGAAAGTGCCGAGGCCTGCTGCAGCTCGCCTCTGCTGCCAAGCAGCCAGACCTGCTGTCCCCCCTACTTTTCCAATGAGCCTTTCTGTGCTCGGGTCTACTGGGGAGCCCTCCCCACTGCCTGCCACTCTCACCATTCCCTTGCTCGTGACAGTCTCTGATCGGATGGCCCATGGCTGCAAGGAACCCGAAGCCCTCACTGCAGGCATGCGTAGAAGGACTGAGAGCATAGGACGCCAGGCCAGAACCCAGGCCACCTCCCAGCAAGCAAGACTCAGCAACAGAGTAGAACCTTCTAGTAAAAGGGGCTGGTGTTGTGGTACAGGTGCAGTGAGGGTGGTTACCACTGCCAGTCTCTTACAGAGATTAGAGTGTCCCTCTCCTCACTGGGAGACTTCAAGGAGTAACCATCTCTCTTATCTGGTTTTGGTCCAACCTCACCACAGAACAAGTCCTCTCGGATAGTGTGACTGGGTTGCTGAGTGACTGGCCTCAAAAACCTTTTGCCACCCCTTCTATCTGCTCCCAAGACTATACTGAGTAATAACAATTTTTTTTTAATTTTTAAAAAAGTGATTGATTTGAAAGGTAGCATTTCCAAAGTACCATAATGGGTGGAGCTGGTTCAGACCAAAGCCAAGAAGCCTGGGGGGTCCAGCAGAGTCTCCCACATGGGTGACAAGGGTCCAGGCACTTGGGCCATCATCTGTGGCTTTCCTTGGTGCATTAGCAGGAAGCTGGATTGGAATCAGAGTAGCCAGGACTCAAACCAGCGCTCACATGGGACACCAGGATCACAGGCAGTAGCTTAACTTGCAGTCAGAAGCTAATTTGTTTGGTCCAGACCCTAGTACTCAGAGAAGTCAGTTTGTGGGAAATGCTGGGATGAAGAGTAGCCACCTGAGTCCCTTTTCCAGTGGCAGAGTGGGTCCATGGGCCCCGACTGTAACTTGCCCTCCACTTTCCATCCACAGGTTCAGCAGTATGGCAGCTCATCGCATCTTTCCTGAGATTGCCCATCTCGGGCACACACTGCATCGTGGGCGCCACCATAGGCTTCTCCCTGGTTGCCATTGGCACCAAAGGCGTGCAGTGGATGGAGCTCGTCAAAATCGGTAATTGCCATTTTCTTTCTCCATGTAAGAAGCAAAAAGTTTACACTGCCTAGAGTAAGTTTTATTAGAAGTAAATTTTTCTTATGGGTAATCTTTTGTCCTCCTTTCAAATGTTGAGCATTAGAAGAGCTGCTGTGAGGAAGAGGCGTTTGCCCCTGGGAGTTCTGTGGGTGTGTAACTCCCCCTTTGAACTCTGGGAATCCCAATGGCTGTTTTCCTGGGGCAGGAGAGCAGGGTGTTTGCCTGAACCCAGTCTGTGAGTCCCAGGAAGGTCTCCAAGCTGGGAAGAGGAGAGAGGAGTCTTTCAGGGAGCCAGCCCAGTGTTCCATGCCCAGGTGCCCCCTGTGGTTTGTGTCCACTGTGACCAGGCCAAGAAGTTAGCTCATCTGCCTACTCTGCCTTCAACACTTTTAGCCCCTCACTGACAATCCACCCACCTGAACTACACCCTTGAGCCCCCCCCATCTCCATCCTGGGGGTGACTCCTGGGACAGACTCCAGGGAGCCATCAGGGGCTCTGGATCAGGCTGTATCCCCTACCTGCAAGGAGGCACCCAGAATCCCCAGGCCCTCCAGGAGAGTGGCTCAAGCTACACTCAGAGTCATCAGGAAATGCAGTTAAGAACTGCCAGCATTCTGCCTCCTTCTAAACTCTGTAACAAACCCAAAGGTTCCCGGTATCCTCCTTCCCACCCCGCTCCCCTGCCCAGAGTAAGGAAGCACGGGGATGGAGGCTCAAAGAGAGTCAGTGCCTGGCCCTGGAGGAGCCTTGAAATGGGCCTGTTGAGACCAGTGCTGATAGGAGAGCGGGCCCCAGGATGCTGAGGCAATCAGGGAACATGGAGGGCTGGCTGCATGTGTTTGGCTGCGGTGCTATGCCCGTGTGCCCACGCAGCTGCCACCGTGTAATAGACGTTGGCCCTGCCCCAGGAATCAAGGCACATCACTGTGGGGACCTTTATCAGCGTGTGTAATGGATGCTAGTAATCATCGTAGCGTATAAATCTGACCTTGACTGCATATGGATATTGACATTCATTGTTTTTTTTTTTTTTCAATTATTCAGTTGCTTCTTGGTTTATATCTCCACTCTTGTCTGGTTTCATGTCTGGCCTGCTGTTTGTACTCATCAGAATGTTCATCCTAAAAAAGGTAAGTTGAGGCTGTTTTGTTTTGTTTTTAATCGTTAAGCTTCAGAACACATACAGGACCTGCTCAGTAGAAATTAAGGGGCGAGGGTTGGAGGAATCGCTGTATTTATCTGCTGGTAATACAGCAGCCCTGGGGAGTGAGTGAGTAAGCAGTCATGGTCAAGGTTGTTCACCAGAGACCACTCAGAAACCAGCCTTGTGAATTGTGTTGCTTGGTGCCTCAATTTATTTTTATTTCATTTTTTTTTAGAGATTTATTGACTTATCTATTTGAAAGTAAGAACACTGAGAGAGGGAGAGACAGAATGCTTCCATCTGCTGGTTCGCTCCCCAGGTGGCTGCTACATCCAGGGAAGAATATGGAAGAAGCTGGGAGCCAGGAAGTCCTTCCCATCTCCTACATGGATGGCAGAGTTGGTGGCATAATTTAGTTCACATAGCGCATTCCCTGGAATGCTGCAGACTCCCAAAAGGGAAGACTGAAATCTCCTGAGAGGTTAAACACAATAGAGGGAGGGAGTATGAAGACCTTGGGGCTGACAATGGAGAAACAGTGGGAAAGCATCCTTTATGATTCCCTCTTGTTTTTTAAAGCAGAAGGCAAGACTGAAACCCAAATTTGAGGAAAGTACAAGAAAGAAATACACTGTTGAGTACAGTCATACAAACCACAAAATAAGATTATATTTCCAGCTTGTAGAGATCAGTGTACTTAAAGAAAATCTTGATTGTCTTTTAAAATTTTATTTTATCTTGTCACCTTTGGATTATACAAATTGGGGGCTGTTGCCATGTTTTGAGAGCTGTGATGCCTACCTCACACTCTTTTACTTCAGCCTCCCCCTCTCCTGCCACATTGTGGTATGGATTACCCAGTCAACCTCAGTCTGAACATACTGGATGGAAAATTCCAGAAGGAAACCATTCCTAAGTTTTCAGCTGCACACCATTTGCGAGTAGCAGGATGAAATCTTGGTGTGCGGCTGCGTTGGAGATGCTCTCTATCTGCTGCTCACTCAAGCAGCCAACTCCACTACCAGTGCTGGCATTCACATGGCCCCCCAGAGCAGCCTCGTGCTGCTTCACAGTCACGCACCTGCTGTGGGGGTTGCCCATGGAGGGACTGTCATGTCACCGCAGGGAGAAGGGTGCACACCGTTTACTGAGATGTTCCATGAGGGGGACCACGTGCACGTGACTGTCATCATAGCACACTGTTGGAATCGGTCTACCGTGTTATTGCTCCTGTTAGTCTCGTACCATTCCCAAGTTATAAATTAAACTCCGCTGGCGTGCATAGAGTAATGTATACAAGGGCGCTTGGAAATGTTTGTGGAAACTAGAATCAAAAGGTAAGTCAGACTCAGGCAAAAAACCATTTTTAAATCCACATGTAGCTGTTTCATAATAATGTGTCTCCTATGAACTTGTTGAAGACACAAAAAACAGGGACTTCAGAATGTTCCACACCAAGATAAACTGGCCTTTCACTTCAGTTTTCCATGGATATTTGGAGTATCCTGATGCTCCAGGAGATGGGGGACCTTTGGTCCCGGCCTGGCACTCACCCATCCAGCACATCTGGGCATGCCCACCTTCCTCTCTGTCCTGCTTGAGGTTAAAAGCTCTCAATCTCACAGCCCTGCCAGGACGAACATGTCCTTGTCGCTTCTCGCAACGTCCCTCCTGGACACCAGCCACGCTAATATTTGCTTACGTCTTGGACTGTGCCACCCTGCCTTGCCTTGCCAGCGTTTTCATTTCCTCCATGTGGAATCCACTCTTGATGACACACTGGTTCAGCCTTGCTGGGTCACTCCCTGGGACGCCTCAGCTCCCCTGCCCCTCCTTGGGTCTGTATCCTGGTTCTCGGCACCTTGCCTCTTGATCGCTTGGATAGCCCAGTGCCTCACCCTGTAATAACATTTAGCGCTGAGTAAAACATCCATTAACTATGAAGGAGGGCAGTGGTGTCTGACTTGGGAGGCAGAGGGTAGGAGAGAGGAAAAGGACAAAGCAGACAGGTCTTATGAGACAGTTGTCATTAAAACATGCCAACTCAGGATTGTGCACCTGTTTATATCCCTGGCTCTGAGTCTGTCATTAGCAACTTTCGTCCCCTCAAGGAAGCCCTGCTTGGGAACCCGTGTCTTCTATTTCATCTAGGCTCATCCCACATGATGTGTCACAGGTTAGGTTAGAATATTGGCTGTGTCCCTCCCAATTTCCACCCTGCTCCTTCTCCTGTACCTAAGCCACCATATCCCCCTTCCCACCTGGCTGACTGTGGCTGGCGTGCATGCAGAGGTCACTTCCACCCTCACCATTTCGTGACCAGCGCTGGCAGCTTCTAGACACACCCGGGAATGCATTCTCCCTGGACTGTGCCATCTCCATTCATGTTTGCACTTGACATGATCAATGAGGTCGTCTCCACCACTCACCCACACTTCCGTGGCCTGCACCGATTTTCACACATAGCTCTCCCCTTAGCGTGGCAGGCAGCTTGCTCATGGGAATGTGCAAAGGATGGCTGTCCTGGATGTAAAAACTGGAGTTATTTCAGCACCATCTACATGCCAGCACCATGCTCAAGAGTTTGTAGCCTGTGTTTTTGCTTCACAATTCTGTGCTGAAAATTGTGAACATTTCTGGTTGTTTCTCAGACATGATCTTTGGCCCAGCACATGTGTGGCATTACCCTCCCTCCTTGGGGAGTGCTATAGTGGAGGTGTGAACTTGTAGATAAACATCGTACTGGCCAAAGAGCCTGCAGCTCTCCAATACCCTCTTCGTCAAAGCCACATGCTACAAAGATTTTGAAAGTCATAGCACTTGGGGAAGTAGTTGCTTTATATATTACAATATAGCTGAAATATCTACTGTAGTAGAGTAATGTAGAGAATCCTCACAGTTTTATTCTCAACATTTTTATTTATTTGAAAATCAAAATTAAAGGGGAGTGGGGAAAGACAGGGGGAGATCTTCCATCTGTTAGTTCACTCCACAGATGGCCTCAACAGCTAAAACTTGCCCAGACTAAAGCCAGGAGTCAAGAGCTGCTTCCTGGTCTGCCATGTGAGAGGCAGAGACCCAAGCACCTGTGCCATCTTCTGCTGCATTCTCAGGCACAGCAGCGGGGAGCTGGATCAGAAGTGGAGCAGCTGGGCCCGGCGCGGTGGCGCAAGTGGTTAAAGGTCCTCGCCTTGCACGCCCAGGATCCCATATGGGCGCCGGTTCTAATCCCGGCAGCCCCGCTTCCCTTCCAGTTCCCTGCCTGTGGCCCGGGAAAGCAGTCGAGGACAGCCTTAAGCTTTGGGACCCTGCACCCGTGTGGGAGATCCGGAAGAGGCTCCTGGCTTCGGATCGGCATAGTATCGGCTGTTGCGGCTCACTTGGGGAGTGAATCATCGGACGGAAGATCTTCCTCTCTGTCTCTCCTCTCTGTATATCCGCCTTTCCAATGAAAAAATAATAAAAATAAATCTTTAAAAAAAAAAAAAAGAAGTGGAGCAGCTGGGTCTTGATCCAGTGCCCACAGGGATGCTGGCACTGCAGGTGGTGGTTCTAGATGCTATGCCACAGTGCTGGCCCCTCCACGTATCTATTGAATGTGGACTTTCAGGGGCTAAGCTGAACTTGGCTGGATTATGAGCTCCAGGTCCTGAAGCCGTGGGTCGCTAGAGCACATCTACCTGGACAGTTCTTTACTGTTGTCACTCTGACATCAGCTCCTGGGTGCTTAGCCCTGTCCTGCAGTATGCTGGCCTCAGCCCTGCACCTGGAGATGGCCTTTGTGCAGGGGTAGGGGTCGCAGAGCTCGTGGGTTGCCCTGGGGTGGAAGAAGCCCCCTGTCACCATGTCCTGTGCTGCTTGTGTACTGAGCTCCTGCTTTGTCTCCTTGGCCCTTAGGAGGACCCCGTTCCCAATGGCCTGCGGGCACTGCCAGTCTTCTATGCAGCAACCATAGCAATAAACGTGTTCTCCATCATGTACACGGGAGCACCAGGTAAGCCTTCCTTGGGAGCTAACTCTGCCAGGCAAGGCACCTCGTGTGTCAGTTTGTTTGGTGCTGGCATCATCGGCATTTCTCGTGGTAGTCGGAGAGTAGCCAAGAGTAGCTAAATGCATCTGCTTGCGTTAAATAACCAACAGATATGGAGGCACACAGGCAGCAGAATCTCAGGTTGCAATAAAGCGGTTATATCCTTGTTCTGCCACCTTGCCAGCCGTGTTGCTTTAGAAGCTTACACAGCCTCCCAGAGTCTCCAAAGGTGATTTGATTACACATGGGGTGAGCCATGGCTGGGCCGCAGGAGGGGTGTGGGCTGCAGGACAGGGGCACCACAGCAGCGACCCTCGGGTGAGAGGGGCCTTGGGGCTCCCTGCAAGTCGTCATGGCTGTTATGTGGTGGCCTTCCACACATGGCTAAAAGCAAGGGGTTCTTTTCACAGTGACTTCCGACCATTCTGGTCATTTTTGCTTTTTTTTTTTTTTCCTCCACAATGTTCCACAGTTGCTTTGGTGGAAAGGAGATATCTTGTCTTATATCTTGATAGGGAAAAATTGTATTCTCTTTTTTTGGGAGAGAGAACATATTTATTTATTTGAAAGAGTTACAGAAAGAGAAATCTTGCATCTGTTGATTGATGCTCCAGCATCCCCAACACCGTGGCTGGTGTAGGCAAGTCAGGAGCCTGGAACTCCTCGTGGTCTTCCGCATGGGCACCCCAGCCCTCGTGCCGCTTTCCCACTTCCTTCCCAGGTGTGTTCACAGGGAGCTGGATTGGAAACAGCAAAGGGACTGGAGCCAGTGCTCCCCTGTGGGCTGCCAATATTAGCTCGGCACCACCTTGCCAGCCCTTGCAGCACTCCTGTTTCCTTGCAATGCAATGTGGGACACGGGCCACTCTCTCTGGAGTTGTTGTGTCCCCACCTGGGAGACTGCCTGCCCCAGCTGGATCCACCACAGCCGGTGACAGTCCACACATAACGACCGTCTGAATTGTTCTTCCATTCATTTGTAGCCATTATCCTTAAAAAATTATCAAAAAATTATTTCTGCTAAATGGCACATATAGTAAAGTTGAAAGGGGCCGCTTTTCCATGATGAGGGTAAGATGGGGAGGGATCCTTGTTCATTTCTCAGTTGGGGGTTCCTGGTATTTGAGCAATCTAAGTATACCCTATGTCCCAGCCGTAAGTGATGTGTCCTGGTGATCCTGAGCGTCACCCAGCCTTGGCCCTGGCATCCACAGCCTCCTAAACACTAACCCAAGAGGCTGTGAATGCTTGCCATGGGGCCTCTAGACCTCCTTGGGCAGGGGCTGTAAATGCTGGAGAGGGGGTGGGTCCAGGCCTCCCACACCCCCAGCCTGTGTCCCTCTGGCTTCTGCAACTCTGGGTTGTGTTGTGTGCTTGCTCAGTGCCTTACACCAGTAAGCAGGCTAGGCACAGGGCAGGGCCTGGGGCCTGTCTGCGACCCTCTCACATGCCAAGTCGTATCCCTCAGTCCCACCAATTCTCGAAGCCCAAGTTGGCCAAGCCCAGAGCAGAGAGATCCCGAGGAGCAGGGCTGCTCAAGGAGGTGCTGGCCAAGCCTGAGCTATTGAGTCTGGGGATGCTTGCTGCTGCACCACTGAGTTCTAGAAGCACTTGGTGCCTATGAGCAGGCTTTCTGGATGTTTCTGCCATGTGTTTTTTTTTTTTTAAGATTTATTTATTTATTGGAAAGTCAGATATACAGAGAGGAGGAGAGACAGAGAGGAAGATCTTCCATCCGATGATTCATTCCCCAAGTGAGCGCAACGGCCGATGCTATGCCCATCCGAAGCCAGGATCCAGGAACTTCTTCCGGGTCTCCCACACGGGTGCAGGGTCCCAAAGCTTTGGGCCATCCTCAACTGCTTTCCCAGGCCACAAGCAGGGAGCTGGATGGGAAGTGGAGCTGCTGGGATTAGAACCGGTGCCCATATGGGATCCCAGCGCGTTCAAAGCGAGGAATTAAGCTGCTAGGCCACGCCGCCGGGCCCCATCATGTCTTTCTAGGACTTTTTCTGTGTGCACACATGGAAAGGAGATGGTTTTCTTTTTTAAAACATAAATGCTCCCCGTCCCACCACCACAATGCTGTGGCTCAGTGAGTTAAGTTGTTACTTGTAACATTGGCATCCTGTATGGGTGTCAGTGGGAGCCCGGGTTGTACCTGGGAAAGCAACAGAAGACAGCCCAAGTGCTGTGGCTTCTGCACCCATGTGGAAGAACTAAATGGAAGACCTAGGCTCCTGGCTTCAGCCTGGCCCAGTCCTAGCTACTGTAGCCATTTGGGGAGTGAACCAGCAGGTGAAAGACCTCTCTGTTTCTCTGTCTCTGAAACTTTGCCTTTCAATTAAGTAAGTGTTTATTTACTTGTTTTTTTTTTTAAATTTTTAAAAAAGAAAAGTGAATGGCTGCTGCACAGGTAGGCGCTGCTCCCCTGGTTCCCTACTGATCATGTGCCTCTACCTCACTGGGCACGCTGACCCTGCCAATCATGTTGTGTGTGTGCCTTGCTGGGCACACCAACTCTGATGATCATGGCCCTCTATCTCATTGGGTACACCGACCCTGTGATTTGTGGGCATCTGCCTTGCTGGGCATGCCGACCCTGCCGATCATGGACCTCTGTCTCACTGGGCATGCCAACCCTGACAATTGTGGGCCGCTGTCTCATAGGGCATGCTGACCCTGCCAACCCTGCTGATCGTGGGCCTCTGCCTTGCTGGGCATGTAGACCCTACCGAACATGGGCCTCTACCTCGCTGGGCTTGCTGACCCAGCTTGCCCGTGTCTGGGGAACATGCTAGAAGGTCAACATCCTTTCACAAACCATTCACTCTTGAGATGGTGGTCAGCGAGGTGTGTGACTATGCTAGGGCACTGTGTGCTTGGCAACTACATAGGTGCATAGATAAGACATAATCAATGCCCTGTCCACCATGTTCCACCCTAGTATACCTTCAGCAGTCTGCTTGCTGACCAGAGCTGAAGGAGAGTTTCACAAGGTGCAGGGCATACGGAAGACGGGTGCACACGGGAGGCGCAGCCTGGGAACCTCTTGTAACCACACTGTGTCACCTCTCTGCCCCCAGTGCTCGGCCTGTTCCTGCCCCTCTGGGCCATCGTGCTTATTTCAACTGGCGTTGCGCTGCTCTTTGCTGTCTTTGTGTGGCTCTTTGTGTGTCCATGGATGCGGAGGAAAATTGCAGGTAAGGGCCGTGTTTTGCTTCCGATTCCAGTCCCAGACCCAGAGGGTGTGTGACCATCTTCTGCCGTGATCCAACAGCACATGCTGGGTATATGCCAGGGCCTGGCAGAGCTGACTGCTCTCCAGCTGGTGGGGGAGCTGTCCACCCAAGGGAGCAGTGAGTACTTCATGCTGGTGGCATACCTGAAGGTTGGCCATGCAGTGGAGTCCTCCTGGCCTCATGACAACGAGGGGTCCTCAAGGACATGTATGCTGCTGCCAGAGTGAGTTGTCACATCCCACCTGGAAGAATGACTCCAGGTCAAGACTCCAGGTAAAGAAACTGGACAATGCTCAAACCTTCATAGTGAGACACAAAGCGGTTAGCTGTTTTGGAATTCCCATCTGCCAATTTCTTAAAAAGTTAACCGTCCACTTCACCAGATGAATGGTAACTTTGCACCTAGGGATTAATCAGGAGTGAAAACATTCACTCACAAAAAGAAGCCTTGTGTACAAATATTTCAGTTATGTCCACCCCCAAACAGGAAACCGCCAAGGTATTTCCCAGAAGGGCCTGGGCGGTCAATTTGTTTTTTATGCATACACATAGAGAAGGTGGCTTGGAGCAGTGCCAGAAGACCCACGACCCAAGGAACTGCCTGGGTATCATGCTGAGCTGAGAATGCATGGACCAGATTATTCTCTGTCCCATGAAAAGATTCCGTGGGATCTTCCAAAAAGTCAGAACACAGCACTTAACTCATAGAGGCGGAAGACCCTCGCTGCCTGGGCCAAGTGGGGATGCAGGGGGACACTACCCAGCGGCATCAGGAGACTTTTCAGGAGCAGTGGGTGTGCTCTGCCTTCACTGGGGTCTTGGTCATCATGGTTCAGTGCCCGCAGGTCATGCCCTGTGTATATGTGTAACATGCATGGGTTTCATGGCCTATAAGTCACACCTACAAAAGAGCGTGTTCTGGAAGGTCAGCCAGAGGTACCTCCTTGCACCAGCACAGAGCTGGTATTTTCTGTGAACTTTTCGAGAACCCCTTACTCCAGCAGGACTAGCATGGCCAGAACACTCTGGAAAAGGAATAGAGCTGGAGGATTTGCACTGCCCAGCCCACAGACCTGCAGGGCTGGGTGATGGTGAAGATGTCTGCACACTGAACCGTGAGCAGAACAGTGTTCCAACAGCCCCACGCCTGTGGCAAGGGACAGTGCAACAAAGAAAGGAGTCTTCAAACCAATGATGGTAGATCACTTGGACATTCACACCCCCCCCCAAAAAAAGAGCCTTAACCCAAATCCTCCAGCTTATTAGAAAAAAATGCACCACAGATCTAAATGCAAAGTAAAAATACCAAGAAATAAAAATATGAGGCTCTCAAGGAAGGAGAAAACTTCTGGGAAAAACTCAGTGACCTTGGGTTAAGGAGGGATTTTTAGACGTTGTTAGATGTTGTTAGATATCACATCAGACCCACAACATGTAAAAAAAAAAAAGAAATTAGTAAATTGTACTTGATCAAAATTAGAAACTGTTGCTTCATTGAGAAACACGGTTAAGACTTGGAAAAGACAAACCACAGACGGGAAGAAAATAATTGTGAATCCCACAGCTGACAAAGGACTTGGATTCAGAAGATCTAAAGAAGTTCCAGAAAACAAACAGTCCTGTTCTAAAGTAAGTAGAATAGCCCAACAGGAATGTCACCAAAAAAGACCTGAGGATGGCAGGCAAGCCAACGAAAAGGTGCTCAAGCATGAGGAAAACGTGAGCTAAACTCACAGTGCGCCATCACGGCGTCCCTCAGTGCTGGCGCAGGACGGCAGGTGGAGCTCAGGCTCGCAAGACGGTCTCCCAGCTCCTTGCAGGATAAAAATGCACTTGCTGGGAGTCATCTCCAAGCCATGCCTGCAGATTTCTTGATTTCCGCCTGCAAGTATCCATGACACCTTCATTAGTAGTCATTACAAATTGGAAACAACAGCCCAGGTCATGTACAAATCAACCAAACCAGACAAGGAGGAGGAGTGAGCTGTGGACCCCCACCACAGGCACGCACCTCAGGAACACCATACCAATCAGCAAGGCAGCCCTCCTCTGGATAGCGTGATGTACCGTTTCAACCATGTGACCTTCGGAAGCAGTTCCGTGGGGGCTCAGGGGTGGGGCTGGGTTGTCCTGGTCACAGCTGTGATACCAGTGACTCAAATCTCAGGTCACATGCAGTGTCAGCCTGCTACCTGTTTAAGTTTACAAACGAGTAATTTCAAAAACCCCATTAACACGACTCCAGGGAAGCCACATTGCTGGTGGCTTATGGGTTGGCTGGCTGCTTCCTGTCTGTGCTGCAAATAAACATGGCCTTGCGTTTGCACGGCGAGTGCTGGCCCAGGACCAGCCCCAGGCCTGGACTGTCTGACTTGCCCAGGTGGGAGGGAATGTGTACTCCAAACTTGGATCTATAAACCCTTTTCCTAATTGCCAAGACCTAAATGCCTCATATAAGGGTACTTCAAAAGGTTGGTGGAAAATGGAACTGAAAGATGTTTAGGTGCAAGACAACTTTGAAATCCTTGCTTTCCAGCTCTAAGCTGTACTGTCACAGCAGGAAATTGACATTGTGCCCAGTTCTGGCTTCCCAGGAGCTTTCTCTTGTCAGTCCTGTACATTTCCATATTTTGATGTATCCTGTTCTTTTCCCGTGGCTAGTACTGATGGATGTAGCAAGGCCAAACCACCAGCATTTGAATCTTAATTTGCTAAATTTTTTCATTAGCAAAAGGAGAAATAATGCTAATAATATCTGTTTTCGTTTAAGAGTTCATTTTTGTGACATTTTTTTTTCACCATAGTTCATAAGAAACTTGAGGTCAGAGGTCTTTCATGCAGCTTTTTTGTGTGTCCTTGCATGTTTCAGCTCAGGCTAATTTTCAAGCAGCAAGATAATGAAATGAGTAGCACTCTTTTCACCAATCTGATGAAAAGAGGGTGTGATTGAGCTTTAGAAGTGTCTTTTTCAAGAAAACAATTTTTAAAAGTTCAGATCTCCCTGTGCCTTTTACTTGTTTTTGAAACTTTGGTCTCCTGAAGAAATCTGAGGCCAACAGTTCTAGACCAGAAGAAAACCAAATACACTGTAACAATACCTCTGAAGATACACTGGGCGAACCCTGGCAGGATACTGAGCTTAGTTAAGAAAATAGAAGGCCAGTCCAGGAGGCCAGATCAGTGCAGACCACTGGCCCAGACCGGGCCTGGGGGTCAGACTCAACCTTCCCTTAGCTTGTCTTTGGCTGTGGCCTTCAACCCCTGCCTCTTCCTCAGTCTGAATTTTCTGGATGGCTTTCTAGAACACTATTGAATTCTCTGTCCTCTCTCTTGCTATATAACTTGTTGTGTGTTTTTTTCCTGAGTAAGTCCTATAGAATAAATGAATGAGAGGGCTTAGAAATGAAAGTTTAAAAGCCAAATTTATCTCTGGTACCGAAAGAAAAAAAAAACCCAGGAAATCCAGGCATGCAAATGGTCTTTGAAATGTTCATGGAAAAATGTGTGTTAGGAAGACACCCACGCTTGGACTTCAAAATCCTTTTTGTGCCCAAATCCAGCTAATCCCATTTTCCATGAGGCTTTTGAAGCATCCTGTGCGCCTGCACTGAAAGCAAGAATCCTCTCCCCAGATCCTGTTATGACTGTACTTTTTCTCTCAGGCAAGTTACAAAAAGAAGGTACTGTGTCGCCAGCGTCTGAGGAAAGCCTGGGGAAGGTTCAGGAGGCCGAGTCCCCCGTGTTCAAGGAGCTCCCCGGCACCAAGGCCGGCGATGACAGTACTGTCCCTCTGACCGGGCCAGCTGGGGAGCCTGCGGCCACCACCTCTGAGGGCCCTCCGGCCACAAACCACCCACGGGCTCCCTACGGTAAGATGCACAGGACCTGGGCACAGGCAACCCACTTGGAATGCCCACAAGGGGAACACAGTTTTAGATTTTGAGAAAAAAACTGGGATGACTCCCTGGCAGGCAGTGAGCTCACTGGTCTGTGACTGTGAGGGATGCCGAGCCCGCCGTGCGGCTCACTCGGTATGCCTGTGCAGCTGCCCCACTGCAGAGCACAAGGAAGGAGGCTGTCCTGGCATGTACTCCCAGAGCCCTTGGGAACTCCCAAAGCATCCAAGAGTGGCCTTGAATCAGTGGCCAGTGGCGGTAGCCTGTGTAAGCACCTTCTGGGTCCTACGAGGTAGCCCCTGGACTGACTGGGACAAGTCCAAGAAGGCTGTGTGTGCCTGCTGATTGGATGGCTACTGCCAGTGCTGGTCACCGCTGACATTTCAAGCAACACCTGGAATGTCCACCTTTATCTGAACTGAGCTTTTTCTCAGACATGAAGGTTTGCTAAAATCTTTCTAGAATGGTCTCCTCTGAGGACCATTTCCATCAAAACGTATTGAACAGGGGACAGGGCTGAGGCAGTTTCTGGAAGACTTAAATCACATCACTTCCAACTGTCCTAGTACAACTTTTACCTGCTTGTTGCATGTTTCTAAGATGTTTTATTCCCCCCATATTTTAAAGCTATTATATGTCCTTTTTAGTGAATTTAGAAAATGAAGCCTGTAGGGGGAAAAAAAAATCATCCCATAATTGCATCTTCCAGAAAGATGGCTTGAGGGCAGTAGGGAGGTTTTCTTTCCAGATGTAGTTTCTGCCCACAGACTGGAAGAGCAGCTATTTGGCCTGGAGGCCAAGGCACCTGCAACCCACAGCCCAGGTCACAGTGCCTGGGGCCACCTCCCTGCCCCAATCTCCACTCCAGCTTTCTGCTGGGAAGCAGTGGTGATAGCTGCAGGGGTTGGGCCCTGGCGTCTCTGGGGAAACTTGAATGGAGCTCCTGTCTCCTGGCTTCTGCTGACCCAGGCCCAGCCACTGCATGTATCTGGGAAGGAAAGTTCATGGAAACTGTCTTTCTGTCTCTACCTCTCAAATAAGTAAAAAGTAATTAAAGGGTATAAAATAAACCTTATTAAAAAAAAAACCTCTCCTTCAGGAAGGGCACTTTCCATGACTCATGGCGCCACCAAATCACCCGTGTCCAACGGCACATTCGGCTTTGATGGCCCCGCGCGGAGCGATGGCCATGTGTACCACACCGTGCACAAGGACTCGGGGCTCTACAAAGACTTACTACACAAGATTCACATCGACAGGGGTCCAGAGGAGAAGCCCGTCCCAGAGAACACCTACCGGCTGCTGCGCCGCAACAACAGCTACACCTGCTACACAGCCGCCATCTGCGGGCTGCCCGTGCACACCACCTTCAAGGCGGCCGACGCAGCTGCACCCGAAGACAGTGAGAAGCTGGTGGGTGACACTGTGGCTTACTCCAAGAAACGGCTGCGCTACGACAGCTACTCCAGCTACTGCAACGCCGTGGCCGAAGCCGAGATTGAGGCCGAAGAGGGCGGCGTGGAAATGAAGCTGGCGTCGGAGCTCACGGAGCCTGACCAACCGCGAGAGGACCCTGCTGAGGAAGAAAAGGAGGAGAAGGACACGGCCGAGGTCCACCTGCTCTTCCACTTCCTGCAGGTCCTCACTGCCTGCTTTGGCTCCTTCGCCCATGGTGGCAACGACGTGAGGTAAGTTGGCTCATGTGTAGAGTGTGTGCGGCTGAGTGCCCCAGTGCCGCCAAGACCTGGCAAAGGAGCATGTGCTGCCTGCTGGGCCATCGTGGTCCTCAAAAGCTGAGCAGGTGCCACGCTTGTGCCCGGGATGGGGCATGAGGAGGCTGGAAGGTCAGAAGTTACAGAGCTGGAACTGGAGGGCCTGGCAGTTCTGGGAAGGGGAACAGGATAAGCTCCAGGGCAGGAGGTAGTGTGGGTGCAGGGATTACTAAGGGACAGGATAGCTAAGTTCTCCCTGCTGCATTGTGAGGGGGGCGTGGTGAGGGGGCAGAAAGACCCAGGCGCTACACCAGGGAAAGGCATGGTAGGAGTGAAGGGAAGGCCCAGGTGTTGCACTGAGAAGGGGACATGGTGGGAGTGCGGGGAGGCCTGGACGCTGAACCAGGGAGGGGAGAGGGTAGTGCAGCCCAAAGGGTTTGTGTTAGGAAGACAGGACCGATGGGCTTCCCCGACAGACTGGATATGGGGGCAGGAGGTGGAGAGAATGTCAGCCAACTCCCACTCTTCCTTAGGAGGGGCAGCTGGGAACTGGTCAGGTTTGGGGCAAGAAAGAAGCCGGGAGGTGGCTGTGTGCAGCTGGCATGGGTGAGAAGGGGGCAGGCAGGCTGGATACAGACTGGTCTCCTCGGGGCGGTGCCTGTCTGGCTGCACCCCAGGGACAAAGCCGCATTATTGGCCCATTCTCCAATGCACCTCCATGCGCCCCAAGCAAGACCGTGTACCATCTGTGGTCTCTGCAGGTGCAGGCTCCTGCTGCCTGGGGTAGCTGTGCAGCAGGCATTCTGCCTGCCTTGTCAAAGGGAGGTGGGACAAGGGAAGCTCATTTCTGGCCTCACCAGTGTCTGGCCCCAAGGGAAGCAGAACTGCCTCCCAGAGCCCAGTAGCCTTTGCCTTGGCTATGTGGTCTTGGAAAAGTCCATTGCTTTCCCCAGTCTCAGTCTGCTGGTCTGTAAAATGGGGGTAGGCTAGTAACATCTTCATGATTCCCATGAGGGCTCTTGGAGTTCTCTGTGGAGCATGCTGGGGACTGCTTCTCACCTCATCAGTGTCCACACATTTTCCAGGATTACTCTCAGGCTCTCCATCACACAGGTGTGTCTGCTGTGGCCTTGGTAAGTGGCCAGGTACGTGACCATGACCTTTCAGAGTCTGCCCATGTGAGACAGAAGTCTTGCCAGCAGACAGCCACGTGTCTTCAGTTCTGTTCAGTGCCTTGTGGGATTTGCCAGGTTGTACTTTTTATGACTGATTTATTTATTTGAAAGTAGAGTTTGAGAGAGAGGGGGAGATGCACATGCCATCTATTGGTTCACTCCCCAGATGCCTACATCAGAGCTAAAGCCAGGTCTTCTCCATGGGCATGGGGCTCATCTCCTGCTGCTTGCCCAGGGGCATTAACAGGGAGCCAGATCAGAATTGGAGCAGCTGGGACTCGAACAAGTTTTTTCATATAGGGTGCCAGCATATCAGGCAGTGGGCATACATACTGCATACATCATATACATCATAGTAAACTCCTGTTTGCTGGTCACTCTTCAGACACACACACAGCCCCATCTGGGGCCAGTGGCAGCCAGGACCTGGGAATGCAGTCAGGCCTCTGAATGTGGGCATCACCCACTGCCTGCCTGGGTGCACACCAACAGGAAGCTGCAGGCAGGTGGTGGAGCCAGACAGTTTAGAGAAGTGAGACCCAGGCTCTCCTGGACTGATGCAGGCATCCCATCTGGTACCTCAATTGCTAGCCTGTGTGCATACCAGCAGGAAGCTGGAAACAGGTGCAGAGCCAGGACTGAGACCTAGGCTCTCCTGGATAGATGCAGGCGTCCCATCTGGTACCTCAACAGCTGCGCCAAAGCCCTATCCCTGTCATCAATAAAAGCAAGGTTCTAGAACTAAGAGCCTGCACTGACCCTGTGAGGAGGGGCTTTGGAACACTCAGCAGGGAGAATGGCGTTTGCACCAGCCCACTTTGTCATATGCAGAGGCGCCCTGTGAAGTAGGCAAGTGGTACCCTTCAGGGGTGGCACCTGAGGCTGAGGAATGGGATGGTGAAGGCCCAGGATCAGGCTGCGTGACAGTTCAAGGGTGCCACCTGAGGCTGAGGAACAGGGTGCTGTGGGCCCAGGATCACGCTGCGTGACAGTTCAGGGGTAGGACCTGAGGCTGAGGAACAGGGTGCTGTGGGCCCAGGATCTCGCTGCGTGACAGTTCAGGGGTAGGACCTGAGGCTGAGGAACAGGGTGCTGTGGGCCCAGGATCTCGGTGCATGGCAGGAGCAGACTTGGAAGCCAGTTCTCTGGCTGTCAGCCTCTGTGCATGGCTGATCTGGGAGGAAGGAATTGAAGCTGGAAATGCCATCACCAGTGTTCAACATGGGCATCCAAGGGCCTGCGCAGAGGCATGTCCAGGACAAGATGTGAGCATTTGAGAGGGCCCAGCTCTAGCCCATTCCTGCCTCACGCTAGCGACATGACCTTGACCCCGGTTTCCTGGACAGTGAAGCAGTGACAGTGCCTAGTGTGCAGGATGGCTGTGAGAAGCAGTGACTAGCAGTCATCATCTGTGATCCCATAGTAAGATCAGTAGCTGATACTAGTAACAGCGTATGGTAGCAGTACAAAATGAAAATAAGGGCCCTGTGTGGTAGCCTAGTGCCTAAAGTCCTGGCCTTGCACTCATTAGGATCCTGTATGGGCGCCTGTTTGTGTCCCAGTGGCCCTGCTTCCCACCCAGCTCCCTGCTTGTGATCTGGGAAGGCAGTATAGCGGACAGCTCAAAGCCTTGGGCCCCTGCACCCACGTGGGAGACCTGGAGGAGGCTCCTGGCTTCAGATCAGCTCAGCTCCGGCCGTTGTGGCCACTTGGGGAGTCAATCAGCAAACAGAAGATCTTCCTCTATGTCTCTCCTCCTCTCTGGATATCTGACTTTCCAATAAAAATAAGTAAATCTTTTTTAAAATTAAAAAAAAAATGGGGGCAGGGAGAACTTATCCTGTTCACTTCTTGTGATTTTTTTTCCCAATACTTTGAAAGCAGTGTAATGAATCACACGCTCATTAGGATGGTTACTACACAGAAAAGGCAGGCAGTGTCGGCAGAGCTATGGGGAAATCAGAACCTTACGTTCTGTGTTAGAATGTAAAATGGTGTTACCGCTGTGGAGATTCCTCAAACACTTGAAACCAGAACTACCATATGATCTCTCAGTCCTGTTCCAGGTAGTCCTCCTGTGTCCACAGCAGCATGCCAGTGACCAAGTGTCTGTCAACAGACGGTGCTGTGTAAGCATCAATAGTGTGTGGCATAGACGCACGGGATGGGTTGGGGGATTCCTGTGTCTCCATGCAGCCCCAGTGGCCTTGGTGACATGGTGCTCAGTGGAGCAAGTTAGTCACAAGAAGATATGTCGGCCATGGTTCCCCTTCTCTACCTATCTAAAATCACCAAGGCCACAGAGCCCAGAAGGGCCTGAGGAGCTGTTAGTGGACAGATGAGGGTTTCAGATATGCAAGACACCCTGTCTGCAGGGTGTAGGTACTTGAAAGTAGGTAAGATGGTGAGCTGTATACTGCCCTTAATAGCATAGTTAAAAGTACTCAGTCATTTCTGTAGCCTCTAAATTATGTCTGTGAACTACCAGCTCCATAGGTGGGCTGGCCTCGGCCCGAGAATCCACTGTGGATTGTGTGCTATGTGTTTACCTGGGGGTTAATGGGCTCTGTTTTGTTTTTTGCAGCAATGCCATTGGGCCCCTGGTGGCTTTGTGGTTGATCTACGAAAAGAACGGAGTGATGCAAGAGGCCGCTACTCCTGTCTGGCTGCTGTTTTATGGAGGCATTGGCATTTGTACAGGCCTCTGGGTCTGGGGCAGAAGAGTCATCCAGACCATGGGGAAGGATCTCACACCCATCACGCCGTCCAGGTGAGCTTGGGTTGACCTGGTCACAACTGCAAGGGGACCATGACTCACCCAGGGATGGCCCGTCACCCTTCCGCTGCTGGGCCCTTGAGGAGCATGCACCTGCTGCCTCAAGTGTATCCGGAGGTCACTTTGAATCGTGTGGTCCTGAGAGCCTCTGCAGAAAGTTCTTGGAAAATCCTCTGTGGGTTTTGCAAACATCTCTGAGACCCAAATTAGCTTAGTTTTTCATTTCTGTTGTTCAGGGACTTCCAGCAGTACCGACCTATGGGATGGGGGATGGTGGTTAGATATCAAACTTGGGGGAGAACTTTTAGAACATAGCTGAAATGTGCAGATCTGAGGGACTCTTCTCCTCTCCTTTAAAAGCAACAGCCAGGAAGCCTCCTTTTATCCTTGTTGTTATAATTTTTCACACCCCCTGCACCCCTTGGACTTCATTGTAATGAGATTCTTTTTAGGAGGCCAACTTGGAGAGAAATGAGTGATCCAGCTGGGGGTGGTGGGTGGGAATTCACTGATTTGTAGTAAGTCCACAGTTTCCAAGACCGGGAAGGACTGACAGGGCCGTCTTCCTGCACAGCAGGCATAGCTGACCCACTTCCTGCCATGGGTTCTGTCAGGGCCTTCATCTGCCCCGGTGGTCAGCAATGCAGGGTGTACTGCGGATGGTGCAGTGGGGTGGGGGCCAGCACCAGGAAACAAGGGCCTATAATGTGTCTTTTCTGCTCTCTCCCACCTCCGCAGTGGCTTCACCATTGAGCTGGCCTCGGCCTTCACCGTGGTCATCGCCTCCAACATTGGACTTCCTGTCAGCACCACACACTGCAAGGTAGGCGCTGCTGACAGTGAAGCCCACACTGGCTGGTGGTGCTTCGACTGTGGGCACCCATGTGCCACAGGGAGCATCTCCACAGCCCTACCCAGGTCCTTGGGGGCAACATGGGGAACATGGGCTCCAGCTTACCTTCAGCACTCCCCTATGAGCACCCTTGTGGCTTGACACCTGGAGGCCATCTCCCATGCACATGTGCTTTTCCAAACCACAACATCCAGTCTTCCACCTTTCCATCGACCCCCACCATGCAGGCCCTGGACACACGCCCACCTGGCCCACACCCAGGTGCCAGCCAGACCAGGGCCCCTGAGAGACGAATGAAGAGGAGGCAGGCTCCACGAGTTCAGGGAAGCATTCCATAGGTTGGCACAGCATCCCGAGATGTGGTCTCTGGGGCCCCTAGTACCAAAATACCAACCTCTGCATGGCCAAAGCCACTGCCATTTTGTTCCTGGCATCCATCATGTGTATCACCCAAAGTACCCCCCTACACCCCACTGCTGTGTGAGACAGCACAGCCATTTCCACTGACATGGGCTTCTAGATTTCACCTGGCATGTTTACAACAATGACCCTGAAACACACGCTGCACATGTGACAGTCAGGTTAGGATGTGAACCCTGCAGCATGTTGAAGATGAAGCTGGGACTCTGACCCAAGGAATGGCCTTGTTGGAAAGAACTGTTTTAGTTTTCATTTTTTTTAGCTACAGTAGACACGAAAAACTCCTACTCTCCCTGGCTTACTGAGGAGGAAGCCAAGGCTTCCAGAGATGGCCACACAGCTAGGGGTGATGAAGCCAGGGACCAGAGCCTTTCCTCAGCTGCACACATGGCACACACTGCACAGCCGCTGAGCCGCAGGCATGCCTACATGCCTTGGGGATGCATCCTGCTTGGCTCTTCCCAGGTTGGGCAGGCATTCCAACTGGGGCCAGGTGACCTGCCGGAGTCGGCGCAGTGAGGCGAGGCCACCCAGCCCACTAGGAGAGGCGGTATGTCCATTCTGCTTAGTTAGGGTTGACCTACTTCCCGAGTGTGACTTGTAAGTGTATGTCACACCGGCTGTCTGTGTTGAGCTCCGCAGGGGTGAGTGGTGCTTCTGGGTGGTCAGCAAACTGCATAGCAATTGTGCCTATGACACCCCATACATGCTGGTATCACCAGGAATGCCGAGTGACACTAAACCTCTACAGTACCACCTCTAGAATTAGACGAAACACATAAAATACATTAAAAATAAACCCCAGACTCCTACATTTAATCTTGAAATGTCACCTCCCCAGTTTTTTTTTTCCCTAAACTTTATTTATGTTTTGCTTGAAAGGCAGAGAGACAGAGGAAAAGACAGAGAGAAATCTTCCATCTACTGGTTTTCTCGCAAAAGTACCACAATGACCAGAGCCAGGCAAGTCTGAAGGCTGAAGCCAGGAGCTTCTCCAAGGTCTCCTATGTAGGTACAAGGATCCAAGGCCTTGGTCCCCCACTCTGATGCTTTCTGAGGCATTATCAAGGAGATGCATCAGAAGTAGAGCAGATGGAACTAGAATCAGCACCCATTTGGGATGCCAGTGCCATAGGCAGAGGATTAGCTTATTATGCCACTGCACTAGCCCTTCCTCCCTGTATTTCTGTTCCTGCTATAATAATGTGATGTGGCTGCAGGATTTGTGTCCAGGTTGTACAGGCTTTATGTATGTCCTCATTGTCCCACTGTGGCAAGCAGATCCTACAGCAAACTCGTTGGCACATCAGGTGGGACTCCAGTAGAATGCCATTGGTAATGGAAGGACAGAGTGCAACCCAGATTGCAGCCCATTTGTCCAGTGGCATTGTCCATGGACCTCTGGACAAAGTCCAGGGTGTCACTGTGAGGAGGGAGGACTGAGGGCAGAACCCTGGCTCCCTGGAGCTTAGAGGAGGATGGCAGAACAAATGACACCCATCAAAGTCCCAACCCTAGAGGTGCTACCATCACCTGCCACACTCTCATCCAGCCTTCGTTATCCACAGGCCAGGTGTGGGGTACACTGAGAGAGAGGCACGGGGCCTGTGGGAGCAAGCCCGACTCAGGACAGCTGGGTGGAGAATTCAGGAAAGAACATTTTTTAAATGGTATTATTACATTGGTTCTAGAAGGCATGTTGAAGGCAATGTGCTTTGATTATGAAGTGTGCTTCATCCAAGTATGTAAATTTCATGCCTCTCCATATTTTGAACTTTGCTCCAAATCATAGGACTCAGTTACTAAATATGTTCCTGGAATTGATGCTGCTGAGGTCAGAAACCTTAATCAAAGAAACAGAACCTTGAAAATTCAAGTTTGCTCAGCTGTATTTGACAGCAGCTTATGAGTTTGCCTTTCCTGCTGTAACCTTTCACCTAAGGTACAACACAAAGCATCCGCTACCCCACAGAGAGGTCTGTTGGTGAGCCTTATGGGTAATGTTCCCAGAGACATGTAGTTCCCCGTGGGATGGACAGCCCACAATGTCCACCACCCGTGAGGACATGGACTCAGCTAGCTCTGAGTCTGGAACAGCGTACAGGGAGCACTGCTGGGTTTTAAAGCTTGTGTTATAATTTCTTACCGAAGTCCTAATTCTTGCCTTCTCATTCCCTTCTCAATAATAACCCCCAAAGAAATTGTTGTGTTAGTTTCCAGCGGTGAGCCTGCAACCTGGCAACAGCATTATTAAGAGGGAAGTTAGAACACACCAGAGCATGCCCTCCCCCCCCCTTTTTTTTCCTTTTGGTTTTTAATTTTGTTCAAAAGGCAGGAAGGGAGACAAAGGCAGAAACAAACAGATCCTCCGTCCACCCACAGGCTCACTCACCGGGTTTGTCAGCCAGTGCTGGGCCATGCTAACACTGGAAACAATCCACCTCTCCCGTGTGGAAGCCAGAGATCCAGCCATCACCAGCTACCTCCCATTGTGCACATCAGCAGGAAGCTGGAGTTAGGAACAGAGCAGCACTCAGGCCACGCCTGTGATGCCAGACGCGGGAGGCCCAGTGTCTTAGTCGCCGTCCCAGATGCCCACCCCATTGCCAATGGAAGTGAAAACATAGTCCTTGGTGTCGAATAACATATAACCCACAGAAGCAAAGCTGTTAGAGCTCAGAGATTGTTAAAGTTAAGCCTATGACAAGTGAAACAGAGGCATAGTAAAGAATATAAGGAATTGGAACAATACATTTGGGGTGGAATAATTAGTAAGTGTATATCAAATGTTAACCCTCCTGATGGTACTTGTCCTTCTATCGTTTATAAAAAGGAAGCCATCAGTGTAAAAACTAATGATTAGCAAATACAGAGGTAAAAATCTCTGTAACCAGAAGTTGTGTCTGCTTTCATCTCTATTCACAGTGAAATCAAGCTAGAAATCGGTTTATTAAAATACGAATGTATCTCCCTTGAACATTACTAATACTTGTGCAAGTAACAGTTGAAGCAAGGTGCTTAAATGATAATGATGGTTTTCTTGTAAAATAATAGGCACAGGCCCTGGCAGCCAAATATCCTCTGGGATGAAAATTCCCATCTTTAAGTAGTTTCATTGATCAGCAGGAAAATGACAAATCAGGATTAGAAAGAAAGAAAAAAAAATTCCAGAGTAATAAAAATCCTGAGGAAATTTTAAAAGAATATCAAAAGCACAATAGAGATGGATGTTTGGCACAGTAGTGAAAAACCCCACTTGGAACACCCGTGGCAGAGTGCCTGGGTTTGAGTCTCACCACCACTTCCAATTCTAGCTTCCTGTTAAGGCAGCCCCTGGGAGGCCATGGCGATGCTGACTGAAGCAATTGGTGCCTGCCACCCACAAGGGAGGTCAGGATCGAGCTCCTGGCTCCTGGCTTCAGCTTGGGTTGAGGAGTGAGCCAGCAAGTGATGAAAGATCTCTTTCTCTCTCACAATAATTTTTTTTTAAAAGAACACGGTAAAGGTGAAGAAGGCTAGTGGAGAGTAGTTGCAAAAAATAATGTCAATTCAGCCTGGCACAGTAGCCTAACTGCTAGGGTCCTCACCTTGCATGTGCTGGGATCCCATACGGGCACTGGTTCTAATCCCCGTGGCCACGCTTCCCATCCAGCTCCCTGTTTGCGGCCTGGGCAAGCAGTGGAAGAAGGCCCAAAGCCTTGGGACCCTGCACCTGTGTGGAAGACCTGGAAGAGGCCCCAGGTTTCAGATTGGCACAGCTCTGGACATTGTGGCTGCTTGGGGAGAGAATCAGCAGACGGAAGGATCTTCCTTTTTGTTTCTCCTTCTCTCTGTATTTCTGACCTAACAATTTTTAAAAAATGAGTAAATGGAATAATGTCAAGTCATCAAGAGCAACGCGAGAAATCAATGGGAAGGCATTATAGTAACAGATATAGAATTATTTTTTTAGAGGAAAACTCAGAGCTAAGAATTCGAAAGCCTCTGAGAAGTGAAGTAGGAAGTGTTTTCTACAGAAATAAAATACACACAGCACAGAAATGTTGACATACAAAGGAGGAACGCAAGTGGGCAGATCAGCCATCCTCACCCAGAAAAAGGGCAAGGACAGCAGTGGACTGCCGGCTCCTGTTCCAGGAAGAGTATGGCTCTTTTGCATTAGAAAGCTAATTCTATAGAACACAAACTTTCCCACAATGAAGAAGGGGGGGAAAAAAAAGATCAAAACTAGGAACTCTCCAACAACTCTTTCTGTAAAGCATATACACTGGTACAATAGTACATGACACAATATTATACAAGAAATTTCAGCAGCACCAAGTTGAACTTTTTGAAACGAAAAATTCATTGATTTTGAAAAGAGTTTCAGAGAGGGACAGAGAGAGTTCATCCGGGTCACCCTTGTAGATGGTGGCTTGGGTACTCAGGAACTAATCTGCTGCTGTCCCAGGCCATTAACAGGGAGCCGGATCAAAAATGGAGCAGTTAGCACTCAGACTGATGCCCCTATGAGACGCTAGCATCGCAGGCAGTGGCTTTTCCCATTCACACTACAATGTCGGCCCCCTAGCTTGTCATCAACTACCTTCTGGGAGGCTGTGGACTGGCACGTGGTCCTACACCGCTATACCACCATCACCTCCACGGGGCCTGGCCCTGCGGCCACTGCATGTGCTGAACAAGCCCAATTAGAGAGGCTGGAGTATTCAGTGTAATGTGCCTTCGTAACCCCTTACAAACGAAACCAGGTCATCTATTGAGATAGGTGCTAAGAAGACAGCTCATGATATTCAGTGTTTCTAGTCCAACATCTAGTATGGAAATCTAGAACTTGGTGGTAACAGTCCATTAGAAACCAATGGAGAGGAAAATTGCCAAAATAAAAGGTATTTCTTGGTCAGATGTGTCAGTGATGTGCATGGGAAAGCCACAGAACCAGGACACGCCAGCCTGTGGTGGGAGGGGAAGTCAGGTTTCGTAGAGATTTCATTGTCCACAGCACAGCAAGTGTTGGAACTTTACAAAGTGAGACTAAAGCAATTTCAGTGGGATAAACCCTCGAGAATATAAAATGGTCTCCAGAACACAGTGATGTGAGCCCATCTTACCTGATAACACAAGACCTTGTCAGGAAGCAAGAGGTGCTGGTTGTGACTTGGCCCTGTGGGCGCGGGCGCCCATGCATATGGCATCCAGCCGCCAAAGAGGAGGGTCCAAGTGCTTGAGTCCCTGCCACTCCCAGGAGAGACCTGGATGAAGCTGCCAGCTCCCGACATCGGGCTGGCCCACCCCTGGCCATCAGGGCATTGGGAGAGTGAGCCAGCAGATGGGAATCTTCTCTCACCCTTAGCCTTTCAAATAAAACCTTAAAGCTTCTTTTTTTTTTTTTTTAAATTAAGAGAACAGCTTCCACTGTGGTCATGGTGAAGACAGACTGGAGGGCTGCATGCAGGGAAAGCTGTCTGTGAGGCTGTTTGCAGGTTGCATAAAGACCCCACTGTGTGCTGGAAGGGGACAGGCTTTCCTTCCAGCAGAAGCCTGGTGCTCAGCGGGAGGGGCTGCTCATCAGTTACCTCCCTAAAGGCTGGGTCAGGGAGGAGAGAGGGAAAATTGAGAGAGAGAGATCTTCCATTAGCCGGTTTGCTCCCCAGGTGGCCACAATGGCCAGGGCTAGGCTAGGCCAAAGCCAGCAGCTTCCTCTGAGTCTGCCAGATGGGTGCCAGGGCCCACTTGGGCCATCCTCCACTGCTTTCCTAGGCCATTAGCCGGGATCAGAAGTGAGTGCTGGGACACAAACCAGCCATCCATATGGCTGAGGATTAGCCTGTTAGTTTACTATGCCAACGCTTTTTAAAGACTTATTTTTATTATAAAGTCAGATATACAGAGAGGAGGAGAGACAGAAAGATCTTCCATCTGCTGATTCACTCCCCATGCAGCCACAACGGATGAAGTTGCGCTAATCCAAAGCCAGGAATCTAGAGCCTCTTCCAGGTCTCCCGCACAGGTGCAGGGTCCCAGGGCTTTGAGCCGTCCTCAACTGCTCTTCCAGGCCGCAAGCAGGGAGCTGGATGGGAAGTTGGGCCACCAGGATTAGAACCAGCGCCCATATGGAATCCTGGCATGTTTAAGGCAAGGACTTTAGCCACTAGGCTACAGTGCCAGGCCCTACACCAACCCTTTTATTTATTTGAAAGGCAAAGCAGGAGGGGAGAGAGGGAGATTCCACCCACTGATATTATTTATTATTTAGTAATAAATAAATATTATTTATTCCCTAATAGCCTGCAACAGCCAAGGCTGGCCAGGCAAAAGACAGGAGCCAGGAACTCCATCCAGGGCTCTTACATTGTTAGCTGGGAACACAAGTACTGGAGCCAGATGCATTAGCAGGGAGCTAGATTGGAAATCCAGATAGAACTCCATCACAGGTCTTCTCACTGGAGTGCAGGTGTCCCAAGTGGTAGCTCAACCCACTGCATCATACCACCAGGCCCAAAAGGTAAGTCGATAGATAGATGATAGATAGATAGATAGATAGATAGATAGATAGATAGATAGATAGATAGATAGATATAGAAATTTTATTTCTTTGAGAGTCAGAGAGCAAGCAAGCTTCCCCATGCTTATCCCCCAAAATGTGCACACATGTCCCAGGCTAGGGAGCCCGGTCTGGGAGCTGGGAACTCAGTCCAGAAATCCCACATGTGTCAGGAAGCCAGTCACTTACACCACCGCCAGCACCTCCCACAGTCTACATCAGCAGGTAGCTGGAGGCAGGAGCCGGGCACTGAAGCAGGAAGTGCACCTCCCAACCCGGGCCAGGTAACTGCCGGGCTTATAAGCACCTGCCACTCAAGATGTGTTACATGCTCCTCTTTAACTAATAACCTGCTTCAGGGAGTGCAATTTTTAAAATGAATAAATACAGATGTATTCATCATGAAGCTATTTATAAGACAAGTAAATTGGAAGCCAGCTGAAGTGTCAGGTGTGTTCAACTGCATCCACCTCAAGGGTCTGTCCTGCCACATGACAGTCAGAGGCTGCACTGTAAGGTAGATCCTTCTAACAAAATGAAATTACAGTGTACTCTGTAACATATTAGTAAAGCTGTGCTCACAAAACAAATACTAGAAATCTATTAGTGCATTAGTGGGTTCCCCCCATTCCACAAACTTGCCATGATACTATTACATTCTTGTTAAGCTTTAAAACAGACATGAGCTACAAGTGTTTAGACAAATACCATGTTCACATTGGATTTTTAAGGATCTCCACCAAGGGGTCTGTCACAGAAGGAAGCGCCACTGCAGTACTTCCAACAAGGCCGTTGGGGGTTTGTGTCCACAGAGAGGGCAGACCGCAGTTAGCTGGGTTCATGTTCACTCACACCGGGCACAGCACAGGTAGAGACACACAGAACCACATACCTCAGAGAACGATCCTAAGGGGCAAATGGTCACACACGAGTTCATCCCAACGTTGGCACTGGTCATGCCCTTGGCACGTCACCTCTGAATATGTGGGTCTCCCTTTTCACGTGACCAATCTCTGTGCTGCAGGTGGGCTCAGTGGTGGCCGTGGGCTGGATCCGCTCCCGGAAGGCCGTGGACTGGCGCCTCTTCAGGAACATCTTCGTGGCCTGGTTTGTGACGGTGCCCGTGGCCGGGTTATTCAGTGCTGCTATCATGGCTATCCTCCTGTATGGGGTCCTGCCCTATGTGTGAGCGGTCTCCTTGCAGCTGGCCGATGGCTACCAGGCCGGGCCAGTATGGGCGTGCGTGTGGGAGTTGTGTGGCCCCATAGCACCTGCACACATGTACACACACACACACACACACACACACATGCACACACGCAGGCTATCTCCCCACCAGCTCTATCCACACCCTTCTCAGAGGGCTGTGACCACACTACCCCACCCGGCTGCAGCTACATCTTCCAGCGCTAACTTAACTACTGTGTACATAACCATATGTATTAGAGCGGTTTCATGGTGATGGGACATGGTGCGGTTACTTCTCTATCCACTGCACACATTGTACGCTAGGTTAGGTAAGCGTTACTACAGATGTCAACGTGGGAGAGGAGATCGCGTCCAGCAGATTTTGTACATAATGATTGTAGTGGCTGAGTGTGACGCGTTTTCCCAGGGGGAGTATAGATTGGAAAGCAGCCTCTTCTGCTGTCCCTCCCCGAGCCCTGCCCTGGTGTTAATCCCTGCAGCACCCCTGGACAGTGTGCCCAGCTTGGCGTGCTGTTGGGTGACCCCTGGTGTAGGAGTGCTTTCACAGAAGACATTGTTCTGACAATATGTACTGGTCATTGTATGATACATCGCAGTTGCTTCTGTAAATACTGAAAACTGTATTTCCCCCACCTCTTTTTTAATGGTGTGCTTCCCTTCCACTTTTCTGATAAGAGAATTTTGGAAAGTACCAAAGAAGCAGGGGTGGGGGGATAGATTGCCAATATTCTATTTTTTTCATACTGATGGTGTCTCCCCTTGTTATTAACCACACTGTGAGCCTGGGCTGCAGGTACACCAGCTGGATTCCCACCTGCCCAGGGCAGCGCGTGGCAGAGGCACCAGTCGCCCCACACCAGCAGCGCCCCAACCCCGCCCTGCCCCCTCTGACCACAAATCCCTGCCGTGGCCTTCAGTGTCATCAGCATAAAGTGTGCAGGCGTGCCAAGTCCAGTGCAGGTTCCCATCCCTCCTCCCGGCTCCAGTGTTAACAGCAAGCGAGGCTTCTGGGCAGGGAAGAGGGAACCTTTGAGAATGCACTGGATCTGGGATGGGGCCGAGGCCTCAACTGAGCTGAGCAGCCTGCCACTCTGCTGTAGCCCCATTGGAGTCTTTTTTTTTTTCTTTCTTTTCTTTCTAATAGCGGGAGGAAGTATGACTAATGTTAGAGCCTGAAACTATGGAAATGCTGCTAAAATTTTTATATTGACATTTTCTCGGTACTTCATTGTGATTTTTTTCATTAATCAATCATATTAAATTTATAATAAAAAAATTGCCCCTCAAAAGTCTATCTCTGAAGTCGTGTGTGTGTGTGTGGTGGAGGGAAGGGGTCTTCCTTCAACATTCACAATCACGTTCTTTCCAAGTTTCCACAGAAAAAGCTATATCGTGAGGTCACTTGCACTTTTCCTAGTTCCTTTCATTGACACTCCCCTGCTGCCACCATTGTTACTACTGTTCTGTCTGTGCATGTGTGTGTAAGTACATGCAGGTGAGCCACAAGGGCCCAGAGCTGAGGGCACCTGGACCGTCCCAAATCCCTCTGTCAGATCTTTCTGCAGGCCTTTCACTCTCCTGCTTTTGACAAAGGCTAGCAAATCAGGTTCACACTCCTCGTAAATTTGTTAAATAATAATAAAATAGCAGCCCAGGATGAGCAAACATAACCCCACTGTCAATTGGCACCCAGGCCTAGGAGGGGTGGCCCAGGCCTGGGCAGGCAAGAGGGAAGAGCCCCAGGAAGTGAGCTGGGGTCAAACATTCTGCTGACCACATGGCACCAGGTCCAACCCAGATTGGCAGAAGCCTTGTCCACTCTGGCCCCTGCCAGGAAAGCAAGATGTCCCAGCCACTGACAGCAGGTTGGCCTGTACAAGCACAGGGAGGGGCCGCAGCTGAGAGCCAGGGATTTCTGGTTACAGGCTCTATGGTCACAGACCCGCCCCAACTCAGCGCTGGGACACCCGGGACTTTACTCAATTATAAAGCCAGGCCAAACACCACTTAACTGCAGGAGAACAAATCCACCTGCTCCCCTGGCAAGTGCCCAGAGTCCAGCACAGGTGGGGCCACTCATGGCTCCTGCATCCTATTAGCGCTGGCCTCCTGAGGCACAGGCACGCATGGTGAACGTCTCCTAGGAGGGTGGGGCAATTGGGACAAGTGAGGAGAACTTTCAAAGGAAGCCCAGGACCAGGGCCAGACAGGAAACATAACGAGCAATTAAATAGGACATGCAAAATCTGACTCTGCAGCCAAGGGGTTGTAACCAGCATAGCTTGGAGGTTAAACCAAACCCAGAATTTCCAAACTGCAAGTCAGGACATAGTGGGGAACAATGTCAACCAGTTCCAGGGCACCTTTGAGAAGTAGTGGCAAGAGCAGCCCCCAGAGGCGGTAGGCTTAACTGCAACTGTCTTCAGAGCCATGAACGGGCAGCAGGGAAGCCACCTCACAGGATGCTTGGTGGTTGGCAACTGGGAGTCACAGGAAGTGCTCTGTAATGCTCCGATGGTCACAGGGCTTGAAGGGAGGCCCCCAATTCAAATGCACTTCAAGGCGGATCCGGATCCATATGCAGAAATCCTGGGCTGGGTGTACCTGCCTAGCAGCTTGTCGGTTATTCGGCAAGCTCCCACATGTGCCCGTCAGAGGTCACTGGAGGGAGGAGGGGCCTTAAGGAGTATCCAGAAGCAGCAGGGAACCAAGTGACACTGCCATCCTCCAGAATGATTGTCCAGAGAGAAGGTAAGATTTTGGCAAATGTTGAAGGCATGGGGTTATGAGGGAACGGTGGGTTCCAGAAGCCTGGGGAGGATGCCAGGAGACACATGGGCTAGGCAAAAGTTTGCAGAGGAGGAAGCTTTTGGGGTGATGGGGGAGACTGATCTCAGAGCACAGGAGCCACCCTTCTTCCGGCCCCCACGTCCAGTGGAGCCAGCATGGTTCAGGACCCTTAGCCAGCCTGTGGGCAGTCAAGATGTTGATTTGTGCCCCCTAGACATGGACTGCCTGTCCTGTGACAGCCAGCCTAACATCTGACTGAAGAAGAATCGTGCTACCGTCAATCCCATCTTCTAGAGCGATGGAGAAGGCGGAAGCCAAGGCCCAGTGTGGCCCTATAGATGGATGTTGCATAAGGCTGGGGAACAACTTGTTCCTGGAGCGGAAACAGGGAGTGGCACTGCCAAGAGTCCGAGGCACCCCAAAGCCTTGGAAACCTGCACTCACGTAGAAGACCAGGAAGAAGCTCCTGGCTTCAAATTGGCTCATCTCTGGCCATTGCAGCCATTTGGGGGGGGCAGGGGGTGAACCAGCAGATGGAAGATCTTTCTCTGTGTATCTAACTCTCCCTTTCAAATAAAAATAAATGAATCTTTTTAAAAATTTTACTTTCTGGACTGGCACAGTAGCTTGGCAGATACCTACAGCACCAGTATACCATATGGATGCCAGTTCAAGTCCCAGATACTCACTTTCCCATCTAGTGTCCTGCTTATGGCCTGGGAAAGCAGTGGAGGATGGCCCAATTCTTTGGGTCCCTGTGTCCACATGGGAGACCTGGAAAAAGTTCCAAGCTCCTGGCTTCAAATCAGCCCAAGCTGTGCATACTGGTAAACCAGGATAGGGGGCGGCCTGGTGGGGGTTATTGTGGGTATTCCAACTAGGCCATAGCTCCCACTGGTTTATGTGAGGGCCAAGTGTGTGCTGGGCAGAGTCAGGCTGGACTGCAATACCCCTTGGTTCCAGTGGAAGACAGTGCTGGAAACAGAACCAACCCAGCAATTGCAACCACCAGCTGATTGGAGTGATGGACTGTACCGGGCCCTATACTTGCAAGAACACACAAGAATCTGGTCTGGGAACACCTCAGACAAAGTTTCTTTGGGGATCTCCCCAATCGAACTGCTGGACTCAGAACTCTAACCATGAAAAGACAGAGGACAGAACAAGTCAGTCAACTACCTCAGCCATATGTTGGCAGTGAAAACCTGGGCAAATGGAGACTTTAAGATGGAGTATGTCAATCAGTGGATTTTTCAGCGACCTCATCGTGCTTGGAATGGTGAGATTGGCAGCAACTCATAACCTCTGAACTATCAAAACCACTTGAGCAAGACCCTTGGAACACGCCCCACATCAGGGACCTGGGATGGGTGGGAGACGGGGTGGGGTTTTTCCCGTTATCTCCCCTTTTACCCCAGATACATGACAAAAATAATGTGGAGATGATGGTCTTACCCACAAAAAGCAAAACAAAACAAAACAAAAAACAAACAAACAAAAAAAACCTGCCCACGCTCTGGCTGTTGCAACCATTGAGGAGTGAACCCGCAGATGGAGGATCTCTCTGTAACTCTGCCTTCCAATAAATCTTTTCTTCAAGACACTCTTGTCCTCCTCTACCACTGCAGCAAAGGTACTCCAAGTTTTTTTCTTTTAAAAGATTTATTCATTGGAATGTCAGATATACAGAAGAGGAAAAACAGAGGAAGATGTTCCATCCACTGATTCACTCCCCGAGTAGCCACAACAACCAGAGCTGATTCAAAGCCAGGAACTTCTTCTGGGTCTCCTAGTCAGTTGTAGGTTCCCAACACTTTGGGAACCTCGCCTGTTTTCCCAAGCCACAAGCAGGAAGCTGGATAGGAAGTGCGGCCTCTGGGATTAGAACCAGTATCTATATGGAATCCAAGACATGCAAGGAGAGGACTTTAGCCACTAAGCTACCACACCGGGCCCAGTACTCCAAGTTTTAACAACAGTCTGGCAAGGGACAGCACAGTTCCTGCCACCAGAAGAGCTAATATACTGATATGTAACCTTCAGCCACTTTTTGCATAAAATATAATAATCTGATGCCCAGTACCTTCTTGGCTTCTGCAACATGATCTCCATCTGGGTGACATTCCTAAGGGTGGCAGGTAGGAACGAGTGGCCACAGCACCCCGCCTCTGATTCGGCTGCCAGCAGACCTCATGACCTGCTATGCCGCCCAGAGGGGCCCTCGGCCTTCCCCAAACAATCCTCATGACAAGGACTTCTGTTTTCCCCGATCACAAAAATAACAAGTGAACTTTGGATAGCTTGAAAATAAAGCATAAAATGAGAGTTCCTTATAATTCCATGTTCCTGAAATATGAAGTACAAATGCCTGGGAGAATGTGGGCCGCTATTCGGACACACACATTATTTTCATGCATAAAACTGAGATGCGTTTTTCACTTTCTTTTTCTGTTACACATTATATTGTATTTATTGTCTTCGAAAATGCAATCTGTGAGGCAGGAACTAAGGTGTAGTGGGTAAAGTTGCCACCTGCAATGCCAGCATACCATCTGGATGCTGGTTCGAGTCCTGCTGCTCCACTTCAGATCCAGCTCCCTACTTGTGACCTGGGAAAGCAGCAGAGAATGGCCCAAGTCCTGGGTCCCCTGTACCCATCATGAGAAATTCACAAAGAAGCTCCTGGCTCCTGATTTCAGACCAGCTCAGCTCCAGCTACTGTAGCCATTTGAGGAGTGAACCAGTGGGCAGAAATTCTATTTCCCTTTCTAATTCTTTCAAATCAATGAATAAATCTTTAAAGAAAAAACACGACCTGCAATGACTAATACTGCATTTGATGACCATGCTGCCACGTGTGGCTCTAACTCTCCAATGTGTCAAAAGACACTGCCTTCCAGAATTTCGCAGAGTCTGCCTCTGAGGACTGACTTGCTCCCATGAGCTCCTAGCGGTGGAGGTAGCCAGTCAAAGCACACACAAACGCTAGTCACAGGCCACGGGCAAGGTCAACATGAGGTTCTGGCAACAGAGGCTCCCTCAGTGACCACAAGAGAGAAAGCTAGGGGAAGGAGGGGGGAGGGGGAGCTGTGAGGAACCAGCACCAAGTACCCAGTCCAGCCGGCCATCCAGCCTGGCCCCTCCCACTGCACTGGTGCTACACTGCAGACTCTGCCACACAGCTCATTTCCTTCCAAATGACCAGCTGTGCTTTGCTCTCTACCACAACTTACAGACTCCCCCTGCTCAGAACCACCAGCCAGCCACAAGATGCCATCAAATCACATAAAAACCTGACCTCAACCACCCATGGTCCTAGCTGGACAGTGTATTGACACCTAAATCTGGTGGCTCTGCATCTGCCATCAGCATGAGGCACACAGCACGGGAATGGGGCAAGACCAGAAACCTGGAAAAACCTAGCATCCCACCTCCCACTGCCCCCAGCCCTGACCCACCCTGGGATGCACACAACTACCCCTTGACAGCCCCCTCATCCTGCCAAGTCATACAGCTCATCTCTGCACACCACACTGCCAGACTCTTGCAGTTTCATGGCTGTGCTCCTGGGGCACAGTACCCAGGGCACAGCAGCTACTGTGGCAACCCCTCCTTAGTCAGGCTGCAGGAGGAAGGCCTGTGTGTACCACACACAGAGTCAACCTGCCTCAAATGTTAACAAGATAGAACAGGCTTATGCATTGCGCCTGCTCAGCCCTGTCCCTTTCTATGTTACCCCAACCGCCTCTTAAGTCATTGCTTGTGATGGTAGGTCAACCTACTTAGAATATCACTGACAAACAGTAGGCACCACAGGGATTTTCCAACTTAGGTGATGTCTACTTATTACCCAGTTCCTGACATTTCAATAAAAGATACCATCTAGTCACTTGCAATCATCTCTAGGCTGGTGCCACGCTACACCAGGATGCCTGCAGCACCAGCATCCCATATGAGCACCAGTTTAAGTCCTGTCTGCTCCACTTTTGATCCAGCTACCTATAGCATTGGAACGCAGCAGAGGATGGTCGAAGTGCGTGGGCCCCTGCACCCATGTGGGACACCAGAGAAAGTTTCTGGCTCCTGGCTTTGGACTGACCCAGCTCCAGCCACTGTGGTTGTTTAGGGAGTGAACTAGCAGAGGGAAGATTTATCTTTGCTTCTCTATATATAACAACTCTCCCTTTCAAAGAAAATAAATATCAAAAAGACAGAGAGAGATAATCTTTGGTGGTGTTAAGAGTAAACATCTTGCACCGAAGTTTTTTCAAAAGCCAATCATATACACTACACTAATAAATATGGGGGGAAATGGTGGGGCGGGGAAGGAAGAAAGCCAAGGGAAACTGGAGAATCCCTATACCTACAAAATGGTCTCACAGAAAAAAATTTAAAAATTAGAGTGTTGCAAAATAAGATACGCATTTTAACATTTTATATATCTATTTGTGTAATCTCTAAAAACTATGTTAAGAAGACAGAATGGGTATTTTCAGTTTCCTTCTAATCTGAGCACACTGCAACCAACATATATCATTCCTATATTAGAGGTGTGCAGGAGTAGTTCTGCCCTGGGACTCTCACGAGTCCTGAGGTTCTGGTCAGCTTGCGCCTTTGAACTGCAGCCTCCCTGCTGGCCATCAGTCTCCTGGGTTAAGAGACCAATCCACTCCCTGGAGCTCACAGGAGGCCCAGTGTGGCAGCCCAGCATGGTCCATCCCACCCTTCCTGCCCCCTGCACTTCACCCACTGGCCTTGTCCTTAGCCCCATCTTCCCATCCACTCACACCCTCACCTCCTTCTCAGCAGCTTGGCAGGACTCCAGGATAAGTGCCATTGGACATCCCCCAGCAGGCAAGACTGACATGCAGATTTCTGCCCAGCTGACCCAGAACACTCAGGGCACACTGGATTCCCAATGTGAAAGGGGACAGCAATAGCTCAACTACCAGACTTACAAAGCCCACTAGGCCAACTATCCTCCCCAACCAAACCAAACACAAGAAACCTGAAACTAACACTCAGAAAAACAATCATGTTCCAAATGTGATGGGTTTCTTTTATTTTACTCTGATGCAAAACCAAAGATTCCACTACAGCATGGAGAACAATAATATTAAAAGGTCATGAAAAAGTGGTGTGGGACATGCAGGTTGTGCTGTACAAACTGGAGGACTGGGTCATTTCCTTGAATGTGACAATACACTGTTGTTGAGGAACACATTAAACTTAACACTGAGGAACTGAACTGAAATGTGGCACAAACGTGGCGACTTCCAGGCATGCCTTCGGGAACCTCCCTCCGATTTCTAGACTTCAGTGTGGGGAGGATTACAATTCTTTGGAAGAATAAAAGTTCACACTCTTGAAATTTCACAGAAGGTTAAGGCCAAAACATAGTGGGTGCATTTCTCTTCACTGCCAGGGACCCATCAGATGCTTCACTCAAAACCACTTTAAGCTTCCAGTTCAAATCCCAAGCCCACCTTGTGACCACCTGCGCTGAAGTTCTTCCCGTCGATTAAAGCGGAGAGGGTCAGTTTGACTCCTAGGGAGAAGACACATCAGGCATTTGGAGCAGCTTTAGCAGCTACCCACAGGATTAGCAGCAGATAGATGGTGGCAATGGCCTGGGTCACAGCTGGGGCCAGGAGTCACAGGCACATGGGGGCTACTGGTAAGCAACTCAGCCATCTATAAGTACCAGGTCTGCACTGGACCATGGCTGACTTGGGGTCAGGGTTAACAACAAGTGGGCAACCAAACTCAGTGACCACATTATAGTCAGAAACCCACAAGTATTTCTTAAGGTAAAATGCTTTTGTTTATTTTACTTTCTGTCTGTAAGTATTCAAGTGCTACAAAATGGTCCCAATCAACCTATAGTTGACTGTAGACTAATTAGTTATTCCTCTACCACCTTACCCTAACCCCTTCATTTCTAACCCCCCTACTTACCTGGTCGAAGGGTCTGAGTATAACCCAGTCCAATCAGGCTGGCATTATTCACTTTAGCCTAAGATTCAGAGACACAAAAGAAACAGAAAATAATCAATCTCTGAGAAGTCGAGCACAGCCACTGCTTCAGGTGTCAGGTTTCCACGGCTCAAGCCTCAGAGGGCCAATCTAGAATGAGTGACATTAAACAAGAAGTCTTTGGAAAAGTCAACAGGACTAGCAGACTGGGGAACCCTGAGGATGAGAATGCATGCCTTAGGGGCCCAGCAAGTTCTCAACTCATGCCAGCATGCAACCTCTGACAATGGTTCCTGCACGGCTACAGGGACAAAGAATCAAATCTGGGTTCAAATCCTGGCAGCAAGGCTCACTGCATGGCCTGGGTAAGTCACCTGACCAAGCTTCAGAACCCTCACCTAACACCTCTGACCATGCAGACCAGGAAACAGGAGGAACATCTCGGGGCAAGTCTGGAGCACACCATCAGCTACGTAAGAGCTCCGTGAGTACCAACAGTCACAGGAACACTAATCCAGTGCCATGAATTCAGATCAGAAAATGAGGAAAGGCCCAAGATAAAATGACTTGAGAGTTACACAAGGCGCTAGGAGCAGATCCTACACTTCAGACTCACGTTGTCACTTCCCAAGAAGTCAGTGTGTTAACGTTACTGCTGACTGCAACCACATACCAGTGTTCATTCACCACTCAAAGAAAACGTTTGAGACCCGCCCCCCACCCCAACCCGGTAGCTCATTCTTACAGAGAGAGAAGTTCTACAGTCCAGCTTGTATTTAGCAGCAATGCCAAAACGGGTGTTGTTACTGCCAGCTGTCCACGCAAGGTTTATTGAGGTCTCAATCTTCTCGTTGACCTTCTGGTAGATAGAGCCTCCGAATTCAGTGCCATCGTTTCTGTTTCCATAACACAAGTAGAAGTTATTAGCTAATCTGTGCCACTGCTGTGACAGGAAATTAATTCTAAAGGCGATCTAAACAAGGGTCTACAGCTTCAGATTACAGCAAATTTCTTGCATAAATTTTATTACTAACCAAAACAAGGAACTAAGTTTAGTTGTTCAGTTTGCTAATTAAAATGCAGTAACATGATTAATTTACTTGACTCCCCTCAGGTAACTATGACATACAGGTCCCTCGGGCACGTTCACGGAATATAAGGCACGTCAGGGTGCAATGAAGTCTGCAAACTACTATAAGGCTCACTGAGAACACCGTCTCAGTGCTTCCCCACAGCAGCCAGGAGGCACCAGCCCAGGACACACCTGCTTCCCTGCTCCAAAGCAGCCAGCAGCAGGCAGTCCTAGGGCTTTCTTCACACCACTGTTTCAGTGACAAGTAGGCCTTAACATCCTAAGCAGGAGGCAATCCACAACACTTCAAAAACACACTGCTCCCCACCACGTTCCCTATCCAGTACAGTACAGCAAGGCCAAGACAAAACACAAACACACCCAAGTTCCTACTGACTCAGCCAACAGAGTATGGCCTAGGGAAGTGAGCCCTGGGGCCATCTGAAGGACTTGGCATAGGTGGCTAGGTTCCAACCGAGGAACCCCAAACCCGCTCCCTGAGGAACACCAGAGGAAGCAGGAACATCTCCAAGCCACCCCCGCCACCCCCTGGCCGGGAGGTAAAGCACGATGCGGGCTCGGTGTGCCCAGCTGCTCTTCTACAGACTCTGGGGTAAAGGCGGAGAGGCCAGGAGCCATGAGCAGCATGGCCCGCTGCCTCCCGGCTCTGCTGCACCATGGCCTGAGACACTGAGGTAGCAGCACTCCTAATACCTGCCAGAAAGAACGAGGGATATAAACTCACACATGAGTGTGCAGCTGGAAGTCTGCGGCCTTATAACCCAGAGCAAAATTATTCTGTGACAGTTTGGATTTGGCGGTGTCAAAACTCATCTGATAGCCAGCCAGCCACCCTTCAAAAGCCAACACAGCCCAGCCATAGATGGTTGGTCCAGAAAAATCTATATCAACGTTACTTCCAAGACTAAAACATTCCCGTTTATAAGAGGCCTTCAACTTCCCACTCTTCTTTCTGTAAAAAACAAAAACAATATAATGAAAACATTAGGAGTTTCTATGCTATCCAGGAACTTCTAGAGTTAAGAGCCTATCTCTCCCCCAAGGTAAGTTTTATTGTGGCAGATGGTATACATCCAGTAAAAACATTTCAAGTACCTTAGTTCTACAAATAAACACTGTTCTCAATTCCTCATTATTAATTCAACTGATAGAGTACTTCTTGATGAATTTCATAAAGGAAGAAACAAAAATACAATTTAACAAATTAATAATCTGGAGACTTGTGTTTAAAAGTCCACTTAAATGTTTCAAATGCCACAAAAACGTAAAATGCCCAACACATCAATGAGAAGAGTGTCACTTGGAAGTTATTTCCTAAGGATCCTTTTCCTTGTCCAGCTGAGTCCCTGAGGGGAACGTCTGTCTCAGAGAGGACTGAGGCAGCAGCAGGAAGGCCACTGTGTGTTATCCCTGTCACACAGATCACACAGACCCACATCGGGCAGAGAGGAAACGACACCGTTATTTCTTCCTTCTGCAGCAGGACACCGAGGGCAAGAAGCTGGGGGTTTACAGAGACTAAGAGATGCAGCAGGTGGCACAACTACTCATTCTGATGTTCTGGAGGTAAGGACACAACTGTTTTTTTCCTCTGTTATTGTTTTAATTGAGCATATTTATGGAAGTGATAATTTGATACACATTTTCAACATATGATGATCAAGTTATTTCTACCTCCTTCAACTTTGTAAACTAAAACCTTTTAACATTTAGTAATTGTACAGAATTATGGGTGTGGAATTTCAATAAATGGATACAATGTGTGCTGATTACATTAGGGTAGTGTGTAACTTCCCTCTCTGTTATGACTTTATATTTGGAGCCACTGAATTGCTCTATTTATGTATTAATTACATAATATGTTTGGTGACCTCTAGTCAGTGCACCTACTTAGAACGTTACAACTTAGTCCCTCTACTGGTTTGTGCACCTGTTCCCCAACAACCTCGTTTCCTGACTTCAAGATCACACTGAAGAAACTGACTTCTCAGCAGAACCTGCATTAATCTTAGAATAGCTTAGAGTCTCAGAACACTCCAGCTCCTAAGCTTGTTCTGTGCCATGCCTGCTTCTGTTACATCCAAAAAGTTGTGCTCATCAGTTCAATTTAAAAACAGAAATCTGATCCTGCCTCAGAGGTTCTTCCTTCTCCTTTGCTACCTACACAAGGTCTCCAATACCCCCAAAAGCTATTCCTTTGCCCTAAACTTTCACAAATCCCTAATTCTAATGTTCTCTATCCATTCAGGCTCAAAGAACATTCCAGAAAATAAGGTTTAGATAATTACCCTGTGTTCGGTACAAATATGGTATCAAGAGTCAGTTTCAACCCTTCAGCCAACTGAAAAACAAATATTTTATATTAACAGTAAGTTTCAATTTTTTAAAAAAACAAACAAAAAAGTTTTTTTAAAAAGAACTATTTGAAAAGCAGAATGTCAGAGACAGAGATATTCCATCCACCAATCACTCCCCAAACAGCCACAATGACCAGGGCTGGGCCAGGCCAGGCAGGAACCAAGAACTCCATGTAGGTCTCCCACATGGATGCAGGGGCCCAAGCATCTCAGCCATCCTCTACCACCTTTCCAGGAGCATCATCAGAGAGCTGGATCGGGGACAGAGCGGCCAGGACTTGAACTGACACTCCAATATAGGATGCCAGCAACAAAAAGAGGCTTAACTCGCCAAGTCACAATGCAGGCCCCAATTTCCAAGTCTTTACTCAAGAAAACAACTGTAAACTTTCCACTAACCTCACCTTCAACAACAAAAAAATTTCATTACATACAAATACTAAATGAAATTGAAATTACCTCCCCATCATGTCCCCTAACTTCTCTCCCCTCATCCCTGGTCTTCATTATGGTTCTACTACCAAAATATGGGTTAGAAATAAACAGAGCAAATCCCATTACAGTAAATAACATAAATTACCACACAAAAATAACACAAGTGTAATACAACAAAATAATCTCGATAGTCTCTTTGCAATGAGATAATCTGACATTTAAGAACCCAATCTGTACATGTATATTATTTATAGGTGGTAATGAGTATATACATGTACCTCAAAATACAGTGCCCCATACAGAGTGGGCACTTGAAAACAAACATCACATGGAGAGAATTTTGCAACGATTACAAAACTAAATTACTACAGTGGTATATCGTACGCAGGAGAGACTCGGCAGAACATCAGACTAGAAGAATGGGCTAGAACACAGACGTGACATGATCAAAGTAATCACAAAGCCTTATCTTGCAATAACCTGAGACAAGGCCAAAAAGTCCACCGGCAGAGAAAAATCACAGCTCCTGGACAGGCTGTGCGATCTTGGCTCAGATTACAACTGGGGTTTATCACCATTTGATCCACCTACTTGAACTGAATAACTCTCAATATTTCCCTTACCTTATTCTCCAGAGAGATTTCCGTCCCCAGCGTGTTGTCTGTGTTCCATTTCTGGGTGAAAGTGAGTCCATAATTACAGACCTTGTATTTGGTCTCTAGGTTGCCAGTTGCTTTCCCTGTATCGGTGTAAGCATGACCTGAAGTCGCAAATTCCTGGGAAGCAAGATCAAACACCTTTACCATGAGTGGTTAACTAACACATGCTCACTTCACAAAGTGCATCCTACACACTGGGCAGCAGCACAGGCCACTTCTCAGAGCCTTCTTTACTGGCCAGCAACTCACTGCTCCGCCTCTCCACTGCAAGTATCCTAACCTGTCTCGGGGTCTCCCCACTGACTCTTACTAAATGTGAACCTGGAATTCTCTCCTCCAAAGAGAGAGAGTATAGCACTAGGAAAATAAATGCCACTAAGTACTGCTTTTAGACAAAAACATGGAACATTAAAAAAAAATATGGAACATTAAAACCTTTTATTTCCAGGACCTAAAAAAAGATGATCCCTTCTCTATAACGCCTTTAAAATGACTAGTTATTCCAAATGTCTTTAAAAATCCCTAAACGTTATCATCCCTCTTTTAACAGGGGCAACATTTCATATATTACAAATTCTTTATCACTGTGGTAAAATACATCTAATAAATACCTAATACCTAGTGTGGTATTAGGTATTTAGTTTGCATAAGCTGCTGTTTTTATAGCCCAAACTAAATGTAAAACTTTCAGCATAAATATTTTAATATGTGAACGTGTCTTTCACAATAAAACAGAATACTACAATTAATCCCTCTCCCCCCCCCTTCTCTATCTTGAATACCCTTTTAAGTAGCTACTGCTAAATGGCTATCATGAATGTTTTAAAACACATCCTCCTGTGAGTCAAGTGTCCTTTCAGTCACATGATAAAAAGCAACTGCCAACAGACCTCCTTCCAGGAGGGAGCAACCAACGCCTGTTACTGACAATCATTCTGATTGGCCCAGCTTGGAAGGAGCATTTCTGAAGTGCTGCCAACAGAAGGAAGCACTGCCACCCCAGCCAGATCGGCCCCAGAGCCTGTGCCAGGCATCCAGCCTGCTCCCCAACCCTAGTTCCACAGGCCTGAAGGAACTGCTTATCAACACCTCACAGGAAGTTTGCAAAGTGAGTATCATGCTGCACATGGAGGGCAAGGCCGTGGCAGACTGTTAGTCATGTTTAACAGTTCACACAGTTCTTTGTGACCTTTTTTTTTTTTTTCAGTAGATCTGACTTACCAGATCTTCCTTTTTCACATTTATGTATCACAAACTTGACAAACATAGCACATGTAAGCCTTAGTTCTGGCATTAGGGAAGCTTTATGCACAACATCAAGGTAAAGGAGTGGTCTGAATTTCTTCCTTGGCATCACCATTTCTTAGTTAAAAGCCCAGCCAAGAATCTAAAATACTAGCTATAATTACCAAAAGAAGGCTATAATTGTTCCAGGATGCAGGCTCATAATGGCTTCAGTTTTTGCCTAATTTCAGACTTGGGTCAAACAAGTGCAAAATACATTTATAACATGCATACCACATCTACAGTAAATGCTGGTAAGCAACAAAACAAACACTGTGGTTAAACAGACAGTGTATATGGTACAGATGCCAAGATCCAGTCTAATGTGGGATGGTGGGTGAAGCATCCTAAATCAGTATCGGGGACCAAAGGCAGCCACAAAGCGAGCACAGAAATGAGCTGGTGTCCTTACCATCTGAATGAGCACCGCCACAGCAGCATGAAAGGGAGAGAAGAGCTTGGTTGATCTATACAACACAAACTTCACTTGCACAAATTTGGAAACCTACTCGGAGCGAGCATGACTACTCCACTTTAACACTCCCCCCCATACACACAATGCACTCCTCTGAGAAGGGAAGTGCACACAGGGGAAACCCAGGAAAGAATGACAACAGCAAACCAAGATCATGCAAAGTAAATTACAAAGCATTACAGGAATTCCATAAAGCCTCCACCCTAATTAACTATTACATCCAAAAATAAAATCCGCATCAGTGTGAAGAGGTAAATACCAGCAAGAGATGAAGGAATGAAGACAAATCAGAAAATAAAAACATTGATCTTTTGCTGAGATTATTAAGTCAAGGCCATGAATGGTGCTTTGGAATACATCAATATATCCTTTACCGCACAGTCTTAACTTCCAGTAGAGCAGACTCTGAGTGTGTCTACAACGAACGCCTTCTATGTTTGTATTATACCTCAACTGGTCATGAAAACACAGGAGAAAGTGGGGATTTTTTTTTGGTTTGTTTTGTAAAAACAAAAACACAGTAAAATATACATGAAGACATTACACTGAAAAGAAAGTTTTTAGTGTTCATATACGTAATTGTGAAATGTGTATCGGTCAAAAACTACTTTGTATCCTCTGAGAGTAAGAAGCAGAGCGCTTTTTTATGACAGCCACAGAGGGTCACCCTAAAAATGCAACTTGATTTTCTAAGGGCTTAGCTGGCGGAGTCCGAGAGCGCCCTGAAAAGAGAGCAGCACAGGTTACAGGGAAGGAGACACTGGCCAAGCAGGATGTTCAAGAGGATTCCCCCAGGGAATTACGTCACGTGCAGTACTCACCACTCCACTGCAAGACTTGGTCCTCAGGTCTATTTTGACCATGCCAAACCCTAGATACACAAAAAGAGTCATGTACAAAACATGGTATTTACTCTAGCTTTGCCAACTCAGAAATTAGAAAATCTCTTCCACATGGAAAATACACAGCATTACTAGAGAAGAATTCCACAAGAGACAGAATTATAATACGTATAATTTTTAAGTTCCTCAAAATGAACAAAAATATATTTTTAAGATATACATTAAAAATAAAACAAATAAATAAGTCTCCTGTGTGGGGGCAGGGTCCCAAAGCTTTTGGGCCATCCCCTACTGCTTTCCCTGAGCTACAAGCAGGGAGCTGGATGGGAAGTGGAGCAGCCAGGATACGAACCAGTAACCATATGGCATCCTGGTGGATGCAAGACAAGGATTTAGCCTAGGTTATTGCATCGGGCCCAATCAACACTACTATTTAACTAATAAAATCAAACATATACAGTACAAAAAGTTTCAAACTGAAAAATTAAATTTAAAACCTAAAAACAGGAGCCAGCATTACGGTGCAACAGGTAGAGCTGCCACCTGCAATGCTGGCACCATCTGCATTCCAACTGCTTCAGTTCAGATCCAGTTGCCTGTTACTGCCTGGGAAAGCAGCAGGAGGTAGCTGACCCACACAGGAGCCAGGTTCCCAGTTTCAGCCCGGCACAGCCCAAGCTCTTGTGGCCACTCAGGATGTGAACAGGCAGATAGAAGACATCTCTCTCTCTCTTTCCTTCCCCCTACACCCTCTCCCTTTCCCTTTCACTGCGTTAATACAGAAACACAAATGTCTTTTTGGAATAAAAAAATATGCTACTCTAAAGAAATAAGAAGTTGGGACTTCACTCTCTTAAACAATGCCATAATCTGGATACAAAAAAGCACTCTGTTTCCAGGGCTGGCCAAGGGGAACATAAATACTGGCAGTTACATTATTTTATATTACATATAACATTGAATGTGTATGTACGCAATTGCTTTTGGTGTATATAAGGGCTCCCCTTAATGCAGTGTGACAGCCTGCTAAGAGCTACACCTTAGAAAGACATTAACTTACTCTTTGTTCTACCATGCACAGTGTGTGACACACGACACAGCACTCCTCATCCCAAACTGGAAACCTCCCAGAGCACACTCACCATATCCTTTGTTGAAGACATCCTTGGCGGCCTTCCCCAGGTCACAGTAGGTTGGTGTGTTACACATTATCTAACAAAGAGGGATAAAAACAGCCATTTAGTACATATGCCCTCACAGTTCTTCCACTCTCACTCCCTGAGAGAAGAGGGGTGCCGTGGCATGAATGCAGCCAGATTAAGGAAAGGTACCCTGCCCTAGAAAAGAGCTCTGCAGAACACTAGAGCGTCCCCATGCAACTGCCCCAAGTCAGTCCTCTGGCCACACTGCAAAGCGCATTCTGACGGGCTAAAGAAAAAAAAATTTTTTTAAGTTAAAGGAATTTTTTTTTAAAATCTGTTTATTTTTATTGAAAAGTCAGATATATGGAGAGGAGGAGGCAGAGAGGAAGATATTCTATCCATTGATTCACCACGCAAGCAGAAACCATGGCCAAAGCTGAGCTAATCCAAAGCCACCCCTACTGCTTTCCAGGCCAGAAGCATGGAGCTGAATGGGAAGCAGGGCAGCCAGGACACAAACCGGAGTCCATATGGGATCCTGGTGCGTGCAAGGCAAGGACTTTGGCCACTAGGCCACCACACCAGGCCCTCAACTGGAATTCTTCAAAACTATATGCAAAATTTACCTTCACAAATATCTTTCTCAGGCTGTTATACAGAGAGCTTATAAGGCAATAAGGTAAACCTGTCCAGAAATTATGAGTATAGAAGATGGAAATCCTCAGGGTTAATATTCTGCTTCTCTGCAGAAAGCGGACCCTAACTGAAAAGCATTCACGCAACTACGCCTTCTCAACACTCTCCTGAGAACAGAGGGCTATGATTTTACCAACTAACCAGAAACAGGACAGACCCAACTATACTGGTCTGCTTAACAAAACTGGTATCGATCCTCAAGTTAAAACCTTCAAAGCCCCCAGGTGCCTTGCCCTGTCACCTTGCTGCCTCAGTGTTCACCCAGCTTTGCCATGGACAACATGATCTCTCAGCAAATTCTCAGAAGCTCGCAGCATTACACCCACTTTGTGCAGCAGGAAGTGTTCTGTTCCCAGGAGCAGGTTCTGTTGTATTCCTAATACAGACTCCATAGCCATGTCCAACAAAGATCAAACCACCTCACACAGCTTCATTCATCTAACTTTCACCAGAAAAAATCCAGAATACCAGCTAGCTCTCCCAATTTTCATACATGAACTGTCTACATGTTCAAACAAATATTTATATTTAACCCAGCTTTTAATCTGGACTTTGCTTAAGTTTTTGCCCACCTTATCATACCTTAACACACATGATCCACTTCTAAATTGAAAATTCATCTAAAATCTGTTGCTTAACCTAAATTTACAATATGATACAAAAATCATACAAAGCTGGGGGGGGGGGGCGCAGGGCCAGGAACACATGGCCCAGGTCCTTAGGTCCACGAGCCCCAGAGGCAGAGGGTAGGAGCAGGATCCAGAAGGCCCTGAGTAGACTGACCCCGATCCCTGGGTACACCTGCGAGAACTAGTCCTGAGCTCTCAGTGGAAAAGATGGAGTACTGGACGACAGGCCCCGATGCACACTGAGGATATGGCAGCCCATCAGGGCCTGCACAGGACATTGGTACCACAGCAGAAGGAGAACAGAACAAACTGATCAACTACCCCAGCCGAACGCTGACAGCAAATATCTGGTCGAATGAAGACTCAGGTCAACTATGTCAGCCAATGGACATTGGAAGAAATTTTTTATCCTTGGATCGGTGAGACTGAGATCACTTCAAAAGTACAAAAATCACCTGAGCAAACTCTCCAAGCATGTGTCACATCGGGATCCTGGGTTGAAATTGGGTGGCGGTCCCCCATCCCCGAGGGTACTAGGGCAGCTGGGATGGTTCTTCCCCTCACCTCCTCCTCTCCCCCAGAAGCAGGAAGAAGAAATAGAAAATTTGGAAACAATGATCACACCCACTTTTCCTCAAGCCTTCCCACCCTGATCAACTCTGTAAGCATCATCAAAAAGGAAATTAAAATGCCTCACACAGAAACAAACAATTCTTAACTTCTTATACACTCCCAATCCCAACTTAATCATTACAATTTTACTGATATTTGTCCAAGTGTTACCAGAAGTCTAATTTTGGAGGTATGTTCAGAGCTCTACAGTGTAACCTTTCAAAACATCTAGAGAAAAGATACAATTAAAGGTTCAGAAGCACCCCAGGGACTTCAAACTGCCTCTGGAAAATGGAATTGCAAGTGCTGGAACCTTGCTGCAGTGCAGGGCAGCACTGGTTCAAACTCCCGTTCCTCCACTTTCTATCCCTGTTCCTGCTCCTGTACCCTAGAAGGAGCAACATGGCCCAAGCTGCTGAATCCACGTGGGAGACCTGGATAAAGCTCCTAACTCCTGGCTTTGGCCTGGCCTACCTCTGGCCTTTGCCGTCATTTGGGGAGTGAACCATGAATAGAAGATCTCTCTGCCTCTCTACGTAACTACATTTCTAATAATAAATCTTTAAAAAAAAAAAGTTTCAGGCCCAGTGGCATGGCCTAGCAGCTAAAGTCCTCGCCTTGTTCGCACCAGGATCCCATATGGGCGCCAGTTCTAATCCCAGCTGCTCCACTTCCCATCCAACTCCCTGCTTGTGGCCTGGGAAAGCAGTTGAGGACGGCCCAAAGCTTTGGGACCCTGCACCCGTGTGGGAGACCAGGAAGAAGTTCCTGAATCCTGGCTTCAGATCGGCATAGCATCGGCCATTGCGCTCACTTGGGGAGTGAACCATCAATGGGAAGATTTTCCTCTCTGCCTCTCTTCCTCTCTGTATATCTGACTTTCCAATAAAAAAAAAAAAATCTTTAAGAAAAAGTATCTTTTGGTGGAAAAAAGTATTTACATATATATGAAATCCACACACAAGAGATGTATTTGAGGGATCTTCAAAGTATTAGCAGAAAATGCATATTGTTTTTTAAAAAAAAAACTATGCATGGATTTTTTAAAAAGTATCCACATAAACAACCTATTAATTCCATTTTCTGGGAACTGCTTGAAATAACTTTCGCGTATATTTGGAGAGATTAATCACAGTCTTAGTATTTCAGCTATTTTGCATAAGCAGTGCCGGATACCTGTCATGCAGCCGGCTCAGTGCACTAACGGGTCTCGGCTTTCTCGCTCAGGTCCGTGAGGCCGAGGGAAAGCCACTACTGGCATGATCAAGCAAAAATCGCATGGCCAGGGACTTGACACTACACCTTCTATTAGCGCTGCAGAACGTACTCTGTGTGTAGACAAGTCCGAGACGCCGAGGTTGCGTCAGACACAGAAAATCCTGGTTAATTCATTTTGACACAGTCGCTAACCAAGACTGTCTTTTGTTCCCCACCCCCCCCCGCATTTTGGCGTAAACTGCCGCTCCGGCAGCACGGACCACAGGCAGCCAGCCTCGCCCAAGGCTCCGGACGACCATGACACACAAGAAAGCAAGCACAACGGGGCGGGTCCGGAGCCCAAAGGTCCAAAGCTGCCGAACACACGACCTCTTCTCCCGCCTGACCCCGCACAGCAGGAAGGTCGCACGCCGCGATCCCGAGGCGGCCGGCGGGGCAGGTCCGGCCGGTCCGCGCGCGCCCCGTTAGCCTGCTCCCTCCCCCCGGCCCTCCGTGGGGCCCACCTCCGGGCCCGGGCCGCCCGCCACCCGCCGCTCCCCGTCACCGGCCGCCTGGCGGGCCGCGGGGCCGGCCACCCGCACTCGCCTCACCTTCCACAGGCCCAGGGCCGGCGCCGCTCCGCCAGGGCAACGCTGAAGGTCTTCCTCCCACCAACGCCGTCCGCGCCTGCGCGGCCGCACTGCCCGCCGCGGCGCCTGCGCGCACGCGCGCCTCCAACTCCCCCCCGCGCCTTCCCGCTCACGCGTCTGCGCCGTAGGGACGCGTCGTGGGAGCGGGGGAAGCGCGGGCCCGGACCCGCACGGCCAACTGTCCGGCTCCGCGGGCGCGCATGCGCGGATGGCGCCGCCGGGGTTGGCGTGTACCTCGGTGCCTGCGGGGCTCGCGAGACGTCCGCGGTTGTTGCTGCGGGCCGGCGCGGGGCTGCCATGGCGGACTGCTGGGCTGACGGGTGGTCGGGCGCCGGGCGGGGCCTTGGCCACGCCTTGCGGGTCTGTGCGGAGTTTTCCCGTCAGACGAACTAGAAGGGTCGGGCTTGTGGCCTTTGGGTCGCGTCCTGTCGAGGATGGGCAAACACGGGTTCTCGCGGGGTGCGGGACGGGGGTTAAGGGCGTGGGAAAGCTCTCCTCTGAGAAGGCCACGGAATAAACGGAGAAGGTGCTGTGGAAAGTCAGCTCTTTGGAACCGGCCTGGGCGCCGTGGACACCTGAGGTGGCCCCAGGGTTTGCAGTCACCACCTTCTCCAGACTTTCGTCTCCTCATAGGCAGGTGGTCACAGGTGTCGCCCTTCACAGAGAGATGAAGCTCTCCAAGTGGCCGCTGCGGGGTCACCCAGGGACACCCAGGTCATATTCTTGCCCAAAGCGTGTGAATTGGCTTTATCCTTGAGGAAACCAACGGGGAAATCCTAACGGAGGGTCCTCTCGCAAGTCAACTGCCCTAGAAACGCCAGTTTCATGAAAATTAGAAAAAGCTAGTTCTAGATTAAAGGAGAAAAGCAAGATCTCTGTCTCACACACACACACACACACACACAAGCCATGTGTGGTCCTAAATTGAACCCCAAGTTTTTTTTAAAATTAGTACTGAAGGTCATTTCTGAGACAATTTTAGTGTCAACTACATTTGTGTTTTGACAAAATTTTCCAAGCGTGGTTTATCTTGGCTAGGCAAAAATGGCCTTGATTTTTAAGAGAAATGTCTTCAAGTGTTTCACTGTGAAGTAATGTGTGTCCGCAACTAACTCAGGTTAAAAAAAAAAGTTAACAATCAGACTAGTGAGAGGTGCCTTTATCAAACTATTCACAAATTGCTTCTTGGCCTTTTGGCTAAGATCAAGTGCATCGAACTATTAATAAAACTTTACACTTAAATTTTTCAAAATAAAAATGCCACAAATTCTAATGCTCAGTGTACTGATGCCAGGCTGTTGCTTAAATCAATAGTGAGTACCATATTGACTTTCTGTGTGTAAGACATTTTGAATTAGTGAAAAGTAAGATCAGTGTTCCCTATGGACTCATAATGTAGGACTTGGACAAATACCTGCCATATGAGACAGGATGTGATAAATGTTACCTGCAAAGCAGTAGCCTGAGTAGGGCTTTGATATCAAAAGAGCATGAGTTTGCACCTCAGCTCTGCCAATTCTGTGGCCTTACACAAGCAACTTAATCTCTCTTTGCCTCAGTTTCCAACCCTGTGAAATAACTAAATAGTATCTACTTTAGAGTATTGTAATGAATATTAAATAATGTGGCCCTAACGCATACTCTACATGGCATATGGAAAATATTCATTAGCTAACAACACAAATGAAAATTAATATAGTCTGTGAGGCTGTGTAGGTAGAGTAGGCATCCATTCAAGAACATTAGAGCCACACTGATGCCTAAACTTTGACTCAGACCTGGCCTTGGTCCAGCATAGCTGGCGACTAAAGGCTGTGAAGAACACTTGGAGGAATTTGGCTACAGTCTTCTTTGATCTTCTGTTATCAAAGATCTTTCTTCTGAAAAGCCCCAACTACACCAGGCCAACATCATCCAAAGGGACCTTCCTCCATCTCCCAACACATGAAGCAGGAAGATGATGAGAGAAACTGCTATGGAAAACACCTGCTTGGAAGTAAGCCTTCTTTTATGCCCCTCTCCATAGTTAGCTGGATTGTTTCTATAGCAACATTTTAACTTTACTACCTGAGAATTCTCAAACTGGAATTCAAGCTGAAGGACTGTACAAAGGATTTTGTGCTGCTGTAAAACCAAAAGAATCAGGCCCAGCATGATGGCTCAGTGGCTAAATCTTCAGCTTGCATGTGCCAGGATCCCATATAGGCACTGGTTCATGTACGGGCTACTTCACTTCCCATCCAGCTCCCTGCTTGTGACCAGCACCTACATTGGAGACCTGGAGGAGGCTCCTGGCTCCTAACTTCAGATCCTGAGCTGGATTAGTTCCGATCCAACTGTCACGGCACTTGGGGAGTGAACCAGCGGACAGATCTTTCTGTCTCTCCTTCTCTCTGTAATCCTGGTAAATCTGACTTTCCAATAAAAATAAATAAGTATTTTTAAAAAGGATCCTGGAGATTTAGAGCAGGAAAGGAACTTTTTTGATTCCTCCTTTGAAAAAAAATATTTAGTAAGTGTTTAACTAATAGGGAATCCCTGACCAAAAAGTGTTAGAGCCATGTGAATTCTGGGGTCTGAGGGGGTTACTTGAAGACTGGATTCCCAGAGCAAGTCACCTACCTGCTCCATCAAGTCAAGATAAACTGCCTGCTCTTCTGCCCCTGCTCCCTTATTGAGAGAAAAATCTCAGAAGTTAGAAGGGTTTACTACACTCAGTAATAATAAGAAGTAGTAGAAGAAAGGAGGAGAAGGAGAATTTTGGTAATTCTGTTAACCTTAAAGCTAAGAATATTATTAGATTCTGAAACCAGCAGTGTGATTTCATTTCATTCACTTGAAGACAAAGTATCTACTTGCTTATTTGCAAGGACCCCCAGATTCTGCTGAGGTCTGAGGTTCTCTACTTGGAAGAGGAGTAGGAGGCACAAGCAGCTTCCTGGTCCCCTCCCAGGATCCACTCATGAAAGCCAAAGTGGGGTTGCAGGGCGTGTGAAGGTTCTTAGAGGTGACCCTGGAGAAGGCTCATTTGGACCAACAGGAAAGGGGCAGAGACGGTGATTTCAGGGGTAGGCATTTGCTGCAGCAATGCCACTGAATGGCACTTGTCGCTCCTCTGTTGGAGGACGTGGCCTCCAATCCCAGTTGCTCCTGATCCCAGCTTCCTTCTAACACACGCTCAGGGATGCAGCAGTGATGGCTCCAGCAGCTGGATCTGTCACTCATATGGCTTTGGCCTGACCCAACTCTGGCTACTGTGAACATTTGACGAATGAGTCTGCAGATGTGAGAGATAGATCACTTTTGCTCTTGCCCTCTTTCTCAAAAGATAATAATAATGTTTGAAAACAGATCTTTGGGGAGCAACATTGTGCTTAGCAAGTGAAGACACTGCTTGCAATGCTGGCGTCCCAGATGAGTGCCAATTCATATCCCTGCTGCTCTTCTTCATATCCAGCTCCATGCTCATTACCCGAGAACAGCAGAAGATGATCCAAGGATTTGGGCCCCTTATACTGACCTGGGAGACCTGAACAAGTTCCTGGTTTCTAGCTTTGTGCTTGCTGGCCATTGCAGCCATTGGGGAGTGATTCAGCAAGTGAAAAATCTCCTGCTATATGTTTCTCTAAAACTGACTTTAAAATAAACCTTTTAAAAATTATACAAAAGGGCCTGACCCAGTTTCTAGCAGCTAAAGTCCTTGCCTTGAACGCACCAGGATCCCATATGGGTGCTGGTTCTAATCCTGGCATCTCCACTTCCCATCCAGCTTCCTGCTTCTGGCCTGGGAAAGCAGTCGAGAACGGCCCAAAGACTTGAGACCCTGCACCCACGTGGGAGACCTGGAGGAGGTTCCTGACTTCTGGCTTTGGATCGGCGCAACACCAGCCATTGCAGTTACTTGGGGAGTGAATCATTAGATGAAAGATCTTCCTCTCTGTCTTTCCTCCTCTGTGTTTATATCTGACTTTACAATAAAAATAAATAAATCTAATTTTCTATACAAAAAGAAAAAGTAAGATAAGTAACTTTTTAAAAAAATTTATTTATTTTTATTGGGAAGTCAGATTTGCAGAGAGGAGAGACAGAAAGATCCTCCATCTGCTGGTTCACTCCATAAGTGGCCACAGTGGCTGGAGCTGAGCCAATCAGAAGTCAGGAGCCAGGAGCCTCCTCCAGGTCTCTCATGGTGCAGGGTCCCAAGGCCTTGGACCATCCTCTACTGCTTTCCCAGGCTACAAGTGGAGTTGGAAGGGAAATGGAGCAGCTGAGATACAAACCAGCCCCTATATGGGATCTTGGCAGATGCAAGACAAGGACTTCAGTCACTAAGCTACCGCACTGGGCCCATAACACACTAATTTGAAAAGACATTTAATACCCCTGAATTTCATATTTAAGTACTCATTTCTATTGAAAAGCCTGAGTAAAACAAAAAGAAAAGTCACATAAATGGCCAACATTAGAGACCATCAACTGACACCTCAGCTCTGAATTCCAAAACAGCAATGTAGTCCATAGCATTTGATAATCTGAAAGATGCAGTGGGGGAAACAGGAGGGAAAAACAGAATCTGTATAGGGGCCAGCACATTTAACCAGCCAGCTAATTCTTGACGCAATGCCAGCATTCCAGGTGGGTGAGGGCTCATGTTCCAGCTGCTTCACTCCCCATCCTGCTCTCTGCCTATGGTCTGGGAAAGCAGTGGAGGATGGACCAAGGCCTTGGGACCCTTCACCATGTGGGAGATGAGGAAAAAGTTATTGGCTCCTGGCTTTGGATTGGCTTCGTTCCAGCCATAGTGGCCGTTTCAGAACTGAACCAGCATATGAAAGATCTGTCTGTCTCTCCTTCTTTCTGTAAATCTGCCTTCCAAATAAAAATAAATCTCTTTTTAAAGATTTATTTTTATTATTTTTTCATTGGAAAGGCGGATATACAGAGAGGAGAGACAGAGAGGAAGATCTTCCGTCCGATGATTCACTCCCCAAGTGAGCGCAACGGGCCGATACTATGCTGATCCGAAGCCAGGAGCCTCTTTCAGGTCTCCCACGCA